CTGTTGGGAGCATGCAGCTAATTACTGCACACAGTCAACGTCTGGACTCATCTCCATGGTAACAAGATGGGCCGGCAAGGCCGGCCGGCACACAGGAAGACAGACGAGGGGATCAATGAGCAGACAGGCAAAGAGGAGAGCAGAACCGCGCTTGTTCAGCCTGATTCACCCGCTTAGTTGGTCCACACGTCCGCGCGGCTGTGTTCGCGTGGATGGCTGCCCGTCAACCCTAAATTCAGACTTACCATGTGACACTATGGCAGCTGTGTAAAACACTAATAATTAGGTTGCTTCTCCAATTGTTTGGATCTTGCGGCAGTCAGTAAAGACCAGAAGTTTCTGCTCTCTCAACAAACAGTCTGCAATTGTCCTTGAGCAAAGCAAGAAATCTTTAATTGATTTAATCAAGCCTTTATAGTGGCAAAGTGCTTAAGTCTTCTTATATTAATGAGTGTGATCACTCGCCCCCCCCCCCCCTAATTCTTTCATTTACGCAGTTCTAACCTCATGATATGTTGGGCTCCCAAAAAGATCCTATAGCTCACGTCTGAAGAATTACTTAAAGTTGTTCATTTTGAATCTCACTTTGCAGATCCGTGTTGCTTGCCCCACAAATATCTTGGTATTTGTAAGTAGACTTGAGTAAACTCTCTGTGTTTGGGGAGTTGCCTGCACCATGGCGGCTCTTCTTCTGTGTGTCAACAGCCCTGAGAGGGAGTGGCTGTTGCAGAGGAAAGGGGAGGATATGTCCGTTTATTCTATTAATCCTTTAATACAGGTTGGAAAATGTTTTCACATAATTCAGAAGTGCATAGGAAAACCTTTGCAAAAAAACCATGAAAATAACTAATTAGTAATTCTGTTTTTTGGGCATTTACCCACTGCAACACGTAAAAACTTCAAATTTAAGAATTGTCTGCTCTTCGAAAAGCATTATGAGTTTTTGTCACACTTTTGGTAATATAACAGGCTTTTTTTCAAGGACTTTGTTCAGCTGGATTTTCAAAAAATAGCTTTAAAAGGTAACGGGGCCTTTTGTGAGCATTAAGGACTTTCATTTAAAACTGTTTGTTGTTTGATTGTGTTTGTGTATACAATCAGAATTACTCCTTCTCCTACACAGCAGTACTCACTTGACTTCAACACAAGTTGAATGACGCCTTGACTTCCTCTCGGTACAATTAGGCTCATATATCAAGTCTCATTTGAACTACTTTCATTGCTCATGCTATTTTTAACCCCTCACCTTATTTCAACCATTCATACGGCCTCCTCAGCCACATCATGCAAAGTCTGGAGGACTTCACACGTAAAACGGTGAAGGGGGAAAGGCCAACCGGACCGTAACCATAACTATATATACATATGGAATGTAAAAAAACAAACAACAACAAAATATTGTTCTCCGCGTGCGCTTTTGTAGAATAAGCGCCTCCAGCTCGTACGTATTTCTCAGTTCGGTTTTGTTTCGACCAGGATTTTGCACGTCATTGTTTACCATAAAGCAATATCGTGAGTAGGGAACTTTCAACATCGCCGGGCCCAGATCCTCCACGTACCTTATTCCCCCCCCCCACTCTCTCTCTCCGCTGTATCGGTGAACAAACACAGACCTTCGCCTCTGTGTATTTGTATTTGTCTATTAGTGGGCTTGCGTGTGTTGACGCTTCTTATGACAGTATCACTCTCTCCTTCCCAGCAATCAGCCTTTTTGTTTACAGCCTTTCCCCTCCTCCCCGTCTCTCTCTTCGACTCTCTTCAGGGTGAATGTCTCACATCAGATCACTCAGCCTTTACAGCAAAGCTTTTGAAGCTTAGGACTCCCACCGTGGCCAAATATAGTAAAGTCTATGTGTGTTTGTGTGTGTGTGTGTGTGTGTGTGTGTGTGTGTGTGTGTGTGTGTGTGTGTGTGTGCGCGCGCAACAGGCTGGATGTGCGTCTGCGTGCATTTGTTCTCCTGAGTAAATGGCTCTGGGGTAAAAACGTGTTTGTTATTGTTCCCAGCACATCGCCTGTAGACAACACCGCCAATTAAAGGGGAGGTTTTATGTGTTAAGAGCAGGAAGTGTTGCCGTGTGTGGCAGCAGGCTATTGGCTGCCCGGCTTTTCCCATGTTCCTTCCCCGGGCGGCCGTACAGACAGGGCTCTTTACTGCCGCGGCCAAATGAAAGGTAAACACAACGCGCCTTTGAATTTAAATTCCTTACTCGAAACGTGTGTGTGTAAGGAAGCGGCAGGCAAATTATTGAATGACACTGTGAGGTTTAAATGTGTGTGTGTGTGTGTGTGTGTTAAGCTTAATGAGAGATTAGCTCTCCAGGATGCTACAGCCCCCTCCTACTCCTCCTCCTCCTCCTCCTCTTGTTGTTGATGCACGAGGGAAATCGTCCGTCCATCCATGCCTCCTTCCATCCATCCCCCCATGCAGCCAGCTCGAAAACAAAACAAGGCGTTGTATGAATGAAAGTGGGAGGGCTTGAGTGGCCTAGAAAGGCAGGCAGGCAGATAGAGAGATAGATTGTGGTGCAGGGCAGGGTGAGGCTGTGGTGGATGGGAGGGTCAGAGAAGAGGACGGAGGAGGGGATGAATGAATGAATGAGTGAGCTGACTGGAGCATGTTTGGCATAGCAGCTAGCTCGCGTAGCCCAGTGCTAGCGTGAGCGGAATGAAGAATAAAGCTGTTACGCTGCCGTAGCCCTCCCCACTGAGACGGCTGTGCTGTGATCCGGTAGAGAGGCGAGAGGAAAAAAAAGGGGTAAAATATACCTCAGATTAATACAATATAATAAAAATATTGAATAAGATACCATGGTAGTGCGTCATAAATGTAAATTATAATCACTGAAGTGAACATAAAAGGGCGCCTTAGTGGATGGAACTAGCTATCTCTGTTTCAGTCGTAATTCAGCCGAAGCAGCAGTCTTCCCCGGCGCACTGGCTGCTTGGCTGCGTCTGCCCCCTGTCTGTCCCAGCGAGGCCAGGGTTAACCCTGGGCGTCTCTCTCCTCCCCGACATGGAAGGCCATTGAATGGCTGCCTCCCCCAGTCGGCAAACGCATTGGCTGAAGCTGAGGGTGGATCTGGGGTTGGAGCGGCACCCAGGCACGGATCCTCGACTGGAGCTGGATCCAGTGCGAGCAGTCGCCTCCCTCCCGCGCTACGTGACGCCGTGGTCACAGCATGGACACACACACACACACACACACACACAGCAGACAGACGAGAGGGGGAGGGCCGAAGAAGAGCATTTTTCTCTGTGGGTCAGAGACGACGGTGTGCAGCGTTTTGGTTTATTGGCTCACAGTAAAGAAAATGCAGTTGAGCAACTCCTGAACCAACCCGGGAGGTGGAAATGATGTTTTTTTTACTTTATTAGTCTTCCCCCTTTTCTGCAGTTTCCACCCTCCTGTCCCTCTTGTCATTGTTCTTTTCTTTAACCGTCTGTCCTCTCTGCTTTTACTCAGGCACCACAATGGGCACCCCTCCTGTGCACAGGGCGGGTGGTGGTCCTTAGGTTTGCTCACAGTACGGATAACTTGATTATCGAAAGCTAACCAAAATACTAATTCAGAACCTTCCCTTTTAAGTATGTGTGTATTAGACACTCAAAGCAGGGTCAAATCATGTTTGCACCCTTTTATTTGCCCTGGATCTGCTTTGTGCCCTGACGCTCTCTGGTTCAGTTCACACGTGATATCAAGGCTGACGCGGAGAAGCATGTTGAGAGTCGTTGATCAACACACTGTAGATATTTAGCTTTTTTTAAATCCAGCCAATTTCGAAGTAAATAGAACTGACCCGATTAGTTTTTATTATGTATTGTATCCTGGACTGAAATGAACAGGACATCCTCCGTTAACTCGCTGCTTATTGTTATGTCCTATCCTGTTTGTCCCCATCAGTATGTGTAGTTGGCAAAAAGACCAGCGCCTGGCATAAGGTGAGATGTAATGAGTCTGTACTGGTCATCAGACGAGGCAATAACAGCCAGTTTATTGGATCATTACAGGGAACGGGGCAAACCTAACGGCTAATCCAATCACAATTGACACTAAAGCTCTTTCACCAAATGCTGTTTCCAAACAGGTCAAATTGAACTTGACATGAGCCAATGACCTATAGTGTTAAAGCTAATAGCAATTAAGGTGGTTTCCATGGTGGTGCGGACGATCGCAGTTGCTCATCAGGTGTGAATTGTGGACACTTCATGGATGCCAGGGTTGCATTCACTAGTTGTCCAAATACGTGTCAGCATGCCGATTACGGTGGGAGTTGTCTGATTGTGTCCTTGAATGCTAATTTGTATTGGTCTAATATTGTGCAAATTGAATAGATTTTCAACACAACCCCAGAACACAGACGGGAGGTCATGCTGTTGTAGCCTTGATTCAACTTGTTGATGCAACAATTTTAGCAGCAGCAACTCGATTGACGTTCATGTCGGGGGTTCATTTGGGATCTTTGTTTCTCTCAACCTAGTGGTGTGTTAACATTACAGTCTGCAATCCATCAGCCAGCCAAGGGAATCGCTGATAAATCTTAGCTTTGTGTTTTTTTTAATTACGTTTTCTCTTTAAGGGTCGACGTTTGTTTCAGTTCCCCCCCCCTCGATGGCAGCTCCAACTTTCTCCAGCAGCGAGGAACCACAAGGCCTCAGCCGAGAACACCTGTTTATAGTTCACGCAGCCATGTTCATGTGTTTGTACTTCCACAGCAAACATGCATGCGGTTCCCTCGCTGCTCACAGATCAGAGCGAACCACCACTCGGTGGCCATTTTGACCACAGGGGGCTCCGCTCATTTGGCCCCTTCTTGTTTTTTAACGTTTGGCGAGCTGTTAAATGCCAGACACGGCGTCTGAGAAAGCGACACGTCTCTGCCTACCAACGCAATTTTCATAGAGATACTAATTAGGGTAAAAAAAAAAACATTACTAAATCGGTGTGTACAGTCGTTAACCTCGTCCTTACGTTTTGTCCTCCCCCTCTGTTTCTCCTCAGTGTGCCTGGACAACTGTAGGCATAGTGCGTGTAACCACAAGGGCCAGTGCTGCCATGACCAGTGCCTCGGCGGCTGTTCTGAGCCAGGTAATGCAAGTAGCTGTGTGGCCTGCAGGAACCTCCAGCACGGGAATAACTGCATGGAAAAGTGTCCTCCTGGATACTACGTCTTCAGGGGCTGGCGCTGTGTCAGCTTTTCCTTCTGCCAGGTTGGTGATAATTCAAATTCTTTAAGGTTGACCCTTATAATGTCGACACAGTAAACTTACATACGCAGGTGAAAGCAATCGTTTAATTTTTTATTTTTTTTTCAAACCAGGAGCTCCACAACCAGTGTAAGGATTCTAAGAAGTTGAACCAGGACCGAGAGTTGGGCTGCCACGAATATGTCATCCACAATGGAGCCTGTATTCCAGAGTGTCCGTCAGGATACACCACTATCAACTCCACTACGTACGTCCGGCACACACACACACACACACACACACACACACACCTTTAATGCTACCATAAACACTGCCGTGATGGTGGCCGTCATTACACGATTGGAGAGTTAGTTAGTTTCCACCCACAACAAATCATTCTCCTGTGACAGTGGATTGTGGTCACTGAACACACTCAATAACCTTTGCACACAAAAGGTGATTGTGTTGGGAAGTTGATCAAACAGAAAGGGCTGCAGTAGTTTTCCTCTATGGAAAGTCTCCCCTGTGGAAAAGCAGCAGAGGAGTCAAGACACAAACATCACCTGCATCTCTGTTTGTCTCGGTATTAAACGTGAACAGTGTTGTTTGGCAGGTTGTAGGATTTACAAGTTCAGTGTCAATTTATAGCCCGTGAGGTGTATGCAGAATACCGTATGAAAATACATATAGCTCATGGCTATAATGTCAGTTACTACTGGTATGATAAGTTTACCAAATGCCCAAAACACAAGTTTCTATATGGTCCTGAGACTACGTGTCAAATGAAAATAAATCCTCTAATCTCAGTTGCTGTGAATGGGTCCATGGGGTTTTCACAGCCTCCATCACATGTTCTCAATGATTACACAGCTGCATCAAGTCAAATCGTTCCCAGACTGACATAAAAAAAACAAATAGTTATCCGCGACACTATGTTAAAGTTTTTTATGGACTTTTCACATGCAAGTTAAATCCGTGAACTTAATTTACTAAAACTGGGTTTTGTGTTGCGTACAGAAATATTTTTGTCAACCGAATGAAGCAACGTTTGTATTCATGCTGAAGTGGTGATTATTTTGGAAACAGCGTAGAAGGGTGCACTGAGGTGAAATAATGTGCCCAGGTCTTTATCCACCTAATAGCCAATTATTTTCCTATCCACGGGATTATTCAGAACCTGAGCTCAACAGTCCGTCTGGGACCTGTTCACTTAGTATGGTTGAGTGAATCTCATGAGATTACTTCCTATGAAATAATAGTAATAAGGATTGCTGGCTGATTGTCAGTACTTGCTGGATGTATTTAAACACAATAGTAATAGTAGTGTAGCTGGTTAAAAGTTTTAAAAAAAAGGTCAAAAATTTGGATAAAGGTGTCAGCCAGGTGCCTTTTGAATGTAAAAATAATGTAACAAAAAATAGTCTGGACGTCACCTGCTCCTGTTTAGCACACAGCTTTGCCTGCGTGTGGAACCGGCAAGGACACGACCTTGTTTAGCATACTTGAAGTAACCGGCGGTAGAGGAACATCGCTGGCCTCCTCACTTAGCGCCGGTAGCTGTTTGCTAAACGCAGCGGACACGTGTTTGTTTTGAGGCCCCAGCATGTGTTCTGAGACCTTTCCTGTTTTCGTGCTTTCAAAACACATACACAGGTGCGCGCGCTGAGGAACGAACGTATTTCAGCACAAACGGGGACGTATGTAACACTCCTGTTTGTTTTGTTTTTTGGCCAGGCATATCTGACTAAACGGCGCTCGCAAGAGTGGCCTGTTGAATACAAAAAAACTCGTATTATAAGCCAAGTCACCTACCAAGAAGTGGCCGACTTGTTGTGTGTTCTTGTGCTGTGACAAAAGACTTCAGAGAGTAGGAGTTCTGTTGCTGCGAAGACGGCGAGAGACACGCCAATGGAGTGTGGAGAAGAAAGTTAGCAGGCGATGGGGTGAAAACGAAGCACTGAGCTGCTTTTGAGCTTTTAGTTTTTTTTCCAATGAGATTTACCCAGAGATGTCTGCAGCGCCCGGAGCCGTAGTCGGGCCGGGTGATTGATGGTGTTTGTGTATCTGGCGTACCTGTGAATATTCAAGTGTTTTGCGTATACATTTGTGAGCGCATGCATTTTGAGTGTTTGTGTGTGTGTGTGTGGCGAGCGTGTTCGCGACTACATTAGCTCGTTCCCAGTAAAGCGTTTGGTCGGGTTACTTTTTCCAGGTTCAGGCTGGGTGGGAGGGCGGGGGGGGGTGGTGATGGTGGTATGTCCACTGTGTCCAGATGGAGGTTTATATATATAGAGAGTGATATATTTATTAGGTAAATAATAAACACCCTGGTGCGCGGAGCTTTAGTGCACCCAGCGGAAATGGGAAGAACATTTCAACAGAACATTAATCTTTCCAAAAAAACTTACTTTGGGTGTAAAAAAGAGAGATTGACTCTCTCCGTGTATGCTTCCATCCCGAAGGGATTATCAGCTGTTTAGAGAGAAAAGAATATTGCTTTAAGTCACATTCATACCCTGAGTTATAAGGCAGAATGTCATTCTTTGCGTGGTTACGTGTGGATGTATGTGTGGATGTTTTTATCAGGGGGCCTCCGTGTGTCTGTTTCGCTGCTATGGTTTGGTTATAGCGAGAACAAGCGTCATCATCACAGCGGCTTTAGCCTGGCAGACGCTACACCCACCCAGACAGACAGGCAACACACATTCTACATAGGAGTACACACACACACAGAACGACGAGGAGCGACACAGAGGAGAGGAGATGGTTGGCGTCCTGATTTTTCTGCGACGTCAAAAAACAAGAATTCTTCCTGCCCTTTGCTGTGTGTCAATAGTGCTTTTGTATTAATTAATACATTTACCTCTGCAACATACGTCTAGATCCTTAGTATGCTTTGGGGCGGTCCTTGCCCAAAGAAGTTCTTAGTTGACAAAAAATATGATTTTGTTCACAATCAAGAGCTTAAAACCCCCCGAAATTACTCCTCTAAGAATCGCACTGAAGCACCTCTTTAAATATTGAGTTTACAATCTATCCTTCACTTGGATATATTTTCTCTCTGCCTTCAACTGCCTCTTCAGCCGTGCGTGCGTGCTTGAGTGTGCGTGCGTGCGTGTGCGCGTGCGCACAATTGGTCTGGTTCCGCCGGGCTCGGGCCCAAAACCAAACCTGAGCGCCGGCTGCGGCCTCTGTTGCAGATGGTTCTAGCAGACCCTGCAGTCCGAGTCATGGAGTTCAGCCGGACAGAGGAACACTGTCTCTTTAAGAGCTGCCGCTGGGCCCAGCCTGTCTGCCTGTCTGCCTGTCTGTCTGTCTGCCTGTGCGTCTGTGTTTTTCAGTACAACAGCCCAAAACATTCTTTCTTTCCACACGGCAACTGGAGCATTACGGTCGAGAAGTTGAATATATGATTTTGTACGTGGGAGAAGGAATGAGTGAAACAATAATATGTATTTCTTACTGATGTTTAAGAGACAATTACAGTGTTTCCACTCGGCCATGAGTCTGAGAGGCGAAGCAATCATTTGGCCTTTGATTGACGGAAATTATTAAGAGCTTGATAAGATGGAAACTGGGAGAAGGCAGGTGTGTATTTGCGCTCTCTCTCTCTCTCTCTCTCTCTCTCTCTCTCTCTCTCTTTCTCTGGGGACGGGAAAAGCCAGACAAGGACCAAAACCACACCCCTGGGATCGAAGTGTTTGTTGCCCCCATGGTGAATGTCGTCCATAGCATCTCCTGTCTATTAACAGGCGAAATGTTTGGGCACAATTTTGGTGAGACTGCGTGCGTGCGTGCGTGCGTGCGTGCGTGCGTGCGTGCGTGCGTGCGTGCGTGCGTGCGTGCGTGCGTGCGTGCGTGCGTGCGTGCGTGCGTGCTTGTGCTTCCTGGAAAGGGGGATTATAATAAGAGTTGCATAAACATAGAATTAACTCGGGGTGAGCTTACAAATGCCAGTGCATGCAGAGCTCGCATGGTCCCCGCAGCGAACAACAGCATCCTTTGTTAGCTGCTCCCCGGGCCAGGGGCTGCTTTGAAAAGGTGCCTGCCAAGGCTGCTGCTGGATGTCATTTGTCTCCTCTTTTTTGAGTTTTGAATCCCCGATCGGACGGCTTCAAAATCTGATCCAGTGAACCATCGTCACCCCCAGCTCTCTATTTTTATTTTTTTTTATATAAAGAAGAAAAAAAAAAGAGCAGGCCCCTGATGAACGCGTTTGGTGGGCGAAGCTCACTTGTATATTTAGGTTTTTGGAGCAGACCAACCAAAAAGCAGCGTTTTAGTTTACGTCTCAGGCTGACCTTTGTGATCAGGGGGGTGTCGAGGCTGGAAGTGGAAGTAAAGGGAGGGATTATGTTCCTTCGAGAGGGCTTCTCATAAAAAGTGTTCATTTGTGAATGAAGCATCGGATCCCTTTTCTCTGTGTGGCGTGTACCCGGCTCACTAGACAAGGCCTGCCTTTTGTGAATGAATTCACTGAAAGGCAGCGCTATCAAGGCCTCATTGCTCAGTATACGTGTGTGTGTGTGTGTGTGTGCGCTTACGTGCACAAGCACATGTTTCCAGGGAGAGAATGCCACTCAGCGAGCTGAGAGAGGGGAATGCCTGTTAGAAACTGCAGATGGTGTTTCAGTCGTGTTGCTTTTGTTGTTTTTTGGTGCATTTGAGTGTGTGTGTGTGTTGTTTATGTGACAAGAAATGAAAGCAAAGGACCATGAAGCACTCTCCTATATTCCACGGTGCTAATAAAAATAAAGGAGGATCGGATGTGGCTGATGGATTCCGTAACCTAATTCCACGACTAAGAGCCTATGGATTCATTATGGGATATCAAATGAATTGAGAGAATTATACAGATTCACCTTTGAATCCATCATTTCATTCATTGAATGGAAAGGTTGTCTTTGATTTGAGATGATGAGTTTAAGAAAGGTGCAGTATTGTTGATTATTTGTCAATTTACGGTAATTATGGATATTGATCCCACGTTGGTTATTAGGCAGTCCTTTTTCTAATGTTATATTTATGGAAGTCGTATAAAGGAAGTGCTTGAATGAGCATTCTTATTTTCAATTGCTGCATACGGATAGCAAAGAATATTTGGATCAAACTCAGCCATAAAGCGCAACTAGAATTAATGTTCAGCTTAATTTCCTCAAACAGATTCCCTGTTGTTTTCAAAATGCCTCGTCATCCCCGGTCCCAGCTTACGTCACACGAGTACGTCACCGGGCCTGATCCAATTATGCGCCTTTCCATTTCCAATAACTGCACACCAAAACATTGCGGCCTCTGTAGTTTTGTCACTTTAGAATGTGCCGTGGACAATAATGTTCTCTGCCTGGGACATCAGCATAGTATTTTCTGCATTGCTCTAGACGTTGTTGTGTTTCTGGCTCTAATCTGTGTACGTGTCTCCACTCACTCTCTGTGTAGGTTGACCTGTTCGCCATGTGCAGGTCTCTGTCCTAAACTGTGTGCGGGAAACAAGACGATTGACTCTGTAACTTCGGCCCAGGCTTTGAGAGGATGCACCGTTCTCCACGGCAACATGATCATCAAGATCCGAGGAGGGAGTGAGTACTACCGCGCCTGCTGGGCCTCCAGTAGAGGCTCTGGTTCTCCCGCTGTGTCTGTCTCCTGCTCCCTCAGTCTCAGGCAATGTTGAGGACCTCCAGCCCTACTGTCTGTGTCTGATCGTACGACCGTCTGTGTTTGTTTCCTGGCCAAATCTTTACAATCAAATCTCCTTGTCCTTGCAGATAATATTGCAGCTGAATTGGAGGCTAGTTTGGGCCAGCTCGAGGAAATCACAGGACACCTGACTGTTCGCAGAGCCTACGCCCTGGTCTCCCTGTCCTTCCTCCGCAAACTGCGTGTTATCAGGGGCGAGCATCTTGAGGGAGAGTAAGTCTCGTCTCGTCTCTACTCTCCGCTCAGATCATTGTGTGCATTTCTTTATCCGGCTCCTCCCTGTCGCTCTCAGTGTCTTCGCCTTCTACGCGCTGGACAACCAGAACCTGCATGAGCTGTGGGATTGGTCCAAGCACAACCTGACCATCCATCATGGTCGTATGTTCTTCCACTACAACTCCAAGCTTTGCATGTCTGAGATCAGAAAGATGGAGAATGTGACGGGAACCAAGGAGCGCAACCAAAAGAACGACATCGCTGTACGCACCAACGGGGACCAAGCCTCCTGTAAGATACCCAGAATGTCAGACTGATGTTCATCCGATGGTCACCGCCTTACTGATGCCATTTCATTTAATGTTCTTAATATGCTCTAGATTTCTTTGTGCTAGCTGTGCTTTTTTGCCTAATGCTTTATTTTTACCTCAAGATGAGCTCACAGTACATCACTTATGTAATCCTAAAAACAATGTTTGGATGAAATACTGTATTCACTTCTGCAGGTCTAATGTTGTGCGATATCATTTCAGACAAAATTATACCGTTAATGTCCTTTATTATTATGATTGTCCGTACCTCAGTAGCGTTGGGGTATTTGAGGTTGTACTGTTCTTTTACCAATAGCATGTGATAAGGATAGTGTGTTTCCCCCCCAGGTGTGACCAAGCTGCTGAAATTCACCTTGATCAAGACCTCATCAAATATGATTATGCTGAAGTGGGAGCCCTTTTGGCCTTCAGACTTCAGAGACTTGCTGGGATTTATGGTTCTCTACAAAGAGACGTAAGTATCTGACAAAAATCCCTGGACGTTCCCATACCACATGTACATGTATTCACACCTACGATCAGTGTTCCTGCAATACAGGCTACACACCAGGGGTTATTTTTAGCTACGGTTTGAATGTCATGTCAGTAACTTGACCAGTACGGCTTTTACTCTACTCTAACGTGTCCGAACTTGATTCTGAGAGGCTGGATGATGCATTCACCTCAACCATGCTAGTCCCCTGCATCGCTCTCTCTTTGCTGCAGCACTCAAACAAACAATAGGGAGACTCGATATATTTCAGACTGTTAAAGTTAAATACACATCAATGAAAATGCTTTATATAATCTTTAAAGCACTGACTTGTTTGTCTCCCCGTATTACCTTTTACCAGCATGTGCCATCTAATATAGTTTGAAGCTGTTTATCCGTGTTCTGTGATCTCTGTCTTTCCACCTGCTCCAGGCTGTACAGGAACGTGACGGAGTTTGATGGACAGGACGCATGCGGCTCCAACAGCTGGGCGATTGCCGACGTTGATCCTCCGCAACGTTCCACGGAGGGCAAGAAGGCGGATGATCCAGGGTACCTTATCCGACCATTGAAGCCCTGGACCTTGTACGCCATCATGGTCAAAACCCAACTATCTACGTCTGACGAGCAGCAGGTCAACGGAGCCAAGAGCAAGATCATCTACGTCCGCACCGATGCATCCAGTAAGTTACACCGCCTAAAGACGCGAGTGTGGATTGGTTCAGGAAATCCTATTTTTAGAGACTTTGATTTTCACTGACTCTGACTTCACAATGGGATGATAAATAAATGATAGAGAATCAAAATTTCGGATTGTATATTTAAAGTTGAAGAGAGACTAGTCAAATAATTGAATTCCTTTTGCAGCTGTAGATTTTTATGTGGATGTTGCACTGTGATACAATAGCTTAAATTCTAATTATAGGGTTATCTTTGGGTATATGATCACATTCAGAATTTCATTACACTGAATCTGAGCGTCAGAAAGGATAATGTGAACAAATGTATCAAGTTTAACTTCCAACTCACAATTACTTCAAGGATATTAAATTTACACTACCAGTTAAAAGTTTGAATCGGATTCAATTAAATGAGAAAGTGAACTTATGACTGGTACTGTACAATCCATCAGCAAAAAAACTTTGGTCCGGACGCGTTAAGTCCTTCAACCGCGTTTGTAGTTGAAGAACAGAAAATTCCAAGCAAAAAAATCAGGGAATCCATAAATAAATGAGGGGGAAGTGTTGTTTTTTTCCCACATAGAACCAAATTCCCTCTGTCACCGACATAGTTGTGACGGTTGATTCCCTCCGTCCCCCTCAGAACCCTCGGTGCCTCTGGACCCCATTTCCTCCTCCAACTCGTCCTCTCAGATCATCCTGAAGTGGAAGCCCCCCACCAATCCCAACGGCAACATCACCCACTACCGCGTCATCTGTCGTAAGCAGTCTGAGGACAGTGACCTCTACAAGTTTGACTACTGCCTCCAAGGTCAGTATCCACTTGTTGGTGCATTCAAATCCGCCCCGAGTGGCTGTTTGCGAGCACTTTACATGTACTTGCGTGGCTTTCCCTCACGCCTATTTCTTCTGCCCAGGGATGAAGCTGCCGTCTCGTACCCCGACCCCCCCGGACAGTGAGGATGAACAGAAGTGGAACCACACAGACGAGCCCACCTCAGGGGGCCGGTGCTGCGCCTGCCCCAAGACTGACTACCAGCTTAAGAAGGAGCAGGAGGAGATAGAGTATCGCAAGACCTTCGAGAATTACCTCCACAATGAAGTGTTCGAGAGCAGGTACACGCCCCGGATTGTAATTAAGTGCCAAAAAATTGGTCATGAAAATTCTGTTGCAACTTTTTCAAGATCAAGATAGAACTTTATGCTTGTTTACAAAGCGTGTATATGGTACATTCAGACTTCACACCAAATGCATCGCCATGGGGGCCGTCTTGCTTTGTTAGTTGCTGTTTGTGGCAGTGCAGCAACACTGGGGCCCCCTCCGTCCGGAAGATCCGATCACTCTTCTTTTGTGCCAGCCCCCGCGATGGCCGCCGTGCAGTTCCCTGCCAAGTCTGTCTTGTCCATTTGTGATTGTGTGTGTGTGTGGTGTACTTAGACCCTTGTTTTTGTACAGTGCGCTACTGTGCGGGGGCTCAGGGTGGGAGGTGGTGATTGTCTGGGCCCGTGGTGCCCCTACCCGCTCCCCTGACACACACACACACACACACAGTCCCTCCCGCCGCTGTAATTACTGTGCCCATTATCATTCATGTTAGTCAGGGGCTCAGTCATGCAGACCGCCATGTGGACTCAAACTCACACAAACACTCAAACTCACACACGCCTCAGCTGGATTTTGAACACATGCTGTCGAATCAGCCACGGTCAACTCCATACGCTGTAGTACACAAAGAACTCCTCGTGCTCTCACGCAAATGGATGAAGGAAAGGTCATGTTTTTCTTCTGCATGAGCAAGTGTCGGTTCCACATTAACAATGTTTCCCGGTACAGTGAAGGAGGGGCCTTGCAGCCCTGGGGTGAAGTGTGCTACTTAAGGACACTGATGGTGGTGATTTCGGAAAGAGGGAAGATCATTTTCGGATTTATTAACAGTGTTTCTTCCCGTCCTTCCGCAGCGTTGCACTGCAGGTGTTGTGTGTGCTAGTTAGTTGAGGTTCATGACCTTTGTGGTGGACCTACACTCACAACCACTAGTGAGGTGGCGCTGCTCGTTGGCACCACACAGGGGTGACAGTCGGTAGCCCTTCCAGCGGGGCATTGAATGGTATTCGTGGATATGTGTCATGCAGTCAGACTTGCAACTCACTGTAAAGGTTAGTGTGAGCAGGGGTCTTTACTGGCCTCCTCCACACTGCTGCTCCATCTGCCAGGTCCTGATTCACATGGTTCAAATGCTTCTGGCTTTTCTTTTTTGATCATTTATTGTACCTTTTCTGGGAGCCATTTGTGTTAGAGGACTGTGTGTAAAAGGCTCTTAAAAGGAACACTGCCCCCTTCAGGTTTTCGGCGGGCATTTCCTGTGACTTTTGCTTCTCCTGTTGTCCTGTCTGTGCAGGCCATCTCGACGCCGGCGCTCAGTTGGAGTTGCCAACGCCACCCTGCCCTCATTCTTCCTCCCTGCAGCCCCCGGCCTGGCTTTCGGATCCACGACGGTCCCCCCTGAAGACGAGGAAGGATCCAAGGTCCTGCGCTGTTTGTCTTATTTGTCATTTTATGTGCTGATTGTTTTTTCTGTTCCGCATCACAAACGCTTATGTAATCTAAGAAAAAATCGAAACTCCTTTTTACATGTAACTCAAAATTCAAGTGTAACGGGAAAAAAAATGTTCTATTCAACTCTATGCGTTTCTTTTAACTTTGTGAGCCTCTAAGTTACATTCCGTAACATTAAAAGCAGACACATTTTTGTTTTTGTCCCCCCTGGAAAGAGAGCAAAGGATCTCCTTCCTGTTCAGTCTAGCCTCAGAATGGCACATGAATGGCACTATTCTCCATTGAAATCACTGACACCGTTGAACTAATGACTTCTTTTTCATCTTTTCTGCTCAGGTGGAACTAAAGGTGTCCTCAAAAGAGTCAACAGTCATCTCCAACCTGCACCACTTTACCAGTTATAAGATAGAGATCATAGCCTGCAACAAAGTAAAAGACGTCGAACAATGCAGCTTGGCTTCTTTGGTCAGTGCTCGGACTATGCCAGAGGGTAAGAACAAGTACAAATGTCTCAGTGGAAATTTGAACTTAATGTTAGAATGATCAGTTATTGTTGAAGGTCCATAGGGAGGTGTTGATTGGTCGTTTGGCGTATAAATATATATATATTTGGAGTATATATCAATTTGACAAACTGAACACACTGACATGAACATTAGCATTTAGCCTTTACCCATGGATGCAGCAAAGAAAGGGCCATGGGTCTCATCACAATAAACAAAATGTTTTAAACATGCATGGATGTCACATGTGCACAATCTGGGACAAAGTTTCCAACTAGAACATTGTGAAAATACAATGCTTCATACTGCTCACATTATGCGCTTGTCTTTAACGCGTGGTCCCCACAGAGAAGGCAGACGACATCCCGGGCACTGTGACCCATGAGATCGTGGCGGCCGAGCCTCCCTACGTGCTCATCAAATGGGACTCCCCTCGCTCCCCTAACGGCCTCATCATCCTGTATGAGGTGTACTACAGGAAGGTCGAAGACACAGAGGTCAGTACCAACCATCCCCAAACTTTTGACCCGTGCAAAAGCAAACCCACGCTACCACTGCGTGTGTTTGCATAGTGCCATACCTGTACACTACCGTGTAATTCTATGTGAGAATTTGTCTCTCATTGCTATTCAATGCGGCACTGCCTGACCCTAGGAGTCAGTAGCAGCTCTGTTACCGTAGTAACAGAGGCAGGGAGGAAGAGTCTAATGCAGTGGCAGGGAAGGAATGGCATCTCAGACAACATCTCCTGCACTGCTACAAAAACACCATTTATTTAAACTGAGGTTTGTTTTATTGCACACTGTAAGACTAAACACATCGTGCAGGCAGCAGACCAACTCGTTTGACTGTATTCATCAACTGCTGGACAAAGTTGTAAATAGAGTTATACAGTTTAAAGTTTTCTTCTTTTGATACTCCCTCCCCATGATTTAATAAAAAAACTGTTGTTTATTCAATGTACCGTGTATATAAAATACTTATTTACATTTTGATACTTATTTGGACTAAAATAAGTTGTATATTTATGTATATATATATTTATACAGTAGCATCCGTAGGTAGGCTGTAGCACCAGGACAACGGACGCAGACGCACACAAGTATCATTTTATGTGTCTTTCTGTTAATTGTCGTCACAATGTTTACACATTTTAAATTTGCACATTCTAAATGATGTTATTCTTGTACAAAGACAAATGCGGTAATGGAGACAATCTCCCCAGTCTGACTCTTTGTGTCGTCTTGGGTCCAGACACAAGAGCTCTTCTTTAATCGGCCATTAACCATTATCTCATAATGACGTTGAGTCAAACTTCATTTCTTTTAATGTTCCTTCCAGTGATTTTCAGAGTTGACTTAAGGCAATATTTTGCAGTTTTGTAGTAAAAAAAGTTTGTTAGTTTATGATTTGGGTTAACTTTTAGAATTGTGTCTGCCCTCCTTTGTCACCCCTTTAAACATCTTGTGATGTATTTCTTTTTGTTCATTTCTAGGATCTCACAGCTTGTGTGTCACGGCCGGCCTACCTCAAGTCAGGTGGCACAAAGCTTTCGCTTATGCATCCTGGGAACTACAGTGTGAGGGTCCGCGCCACCTCCTTGGCGGGAAATGGCTCTTTTACAGAAACCACTTACTTCTACATGCCCAATTGTAAGACCGCAGGCTTTATGTCTGACTAACTGAACCTGCATCTCCTGCATTGTTCACACGGATCTGGGCAGTTTGTCTACTGCTGAAATAATTGTTCATGAATATTATAAGATATTTAATAACCAAGGACCGTAACATTTTTACACATTAATATCCTTTAATACAGATTGTTCTTTTATACTCTGCGATCTTCCCAGCAAACTGACCGGTGACTTCTGTGTTTATTGCAGCGGATCCAGGTTTAATTTGGATTGTGATGGGTCCAGTCATCTGCTTCATCCTGCTGCTGTTCATAGGAGGTGGAGTCTTTGTCATCCTCAAAAAGAGGTATGAATCTTTGACTGGCGTCGGGATGATCCACCCAGCTGGATATAGAAACTGAGCAGATTACACTAAACGACATCAAAGAGAGAGGACTGGTGCTCGTTTTGTTAAGACGGTGTTGAACTTGAACACTTGAGCCCAGTAGCCGTTATGCGTGTGTGACAGCGGAAATTAACAAGACGTTTCCATTGTTTAACCGTCTTCAGCGTCTCGTGCTTTATGCTGTTGTGTTACAGGCAAACCGAAGGCCCGACCGGACCTCTTATCGCCTCCTCGAACCCAGAGTACATCAGCACCAATGATGGTAAGATTAGCATTACACAACCACAACATGTGCTTCTTCCCGTATTTACAACATGATCATTTGTGGAGGACTACCTCATTTAAACGGCGCTCTGTGCCTTCCTGTGTGTAGTGTACATCCCTGATGAGTGGGAAGTTCCCCGGGACAAGATCACGGTGCTCAGAGAGCTCGGTCAAGGCTCCTTCGGCATGGTGTACGAGGGAATCGCCAAGGACATCATCAAAGGAGACCCGGACACACAAGTCGCCGTCAAGACGGTGAACGAGTCGGCCAGCCTGCGCGAGAGGATCGAGTTCCTGAACGAAGCCTCCGTCATGAAGGCTTTCAACTGTCACCACGTGGTACGTCACCGCGTAGCGCTTTTCAAACCCTCTCACAGCGTCGTCACAGGCAAACAGGCACACCGGGACGGCTATGCACTTGGGAATTGCAGTTTTATCACATCTTTCCGTTCATCTGGTTGAAACCAGCGTGAACATGTATGACTCATTTAATCGTGGCTCGTGTGTTGTGTTGATGCTGCCATATTGACACACAGTTTGACTCCCATATGAAATGTTCACACTTGGGGAGCAATTATGCCTACCAATATATTTTCACTTAACAGCCTCCTAAGCACCAATTAAATTGCCACTTGTTATGCTGACAACTGTAAAAAAAAATCATGTTGAGATGTATGGCGCCATTATTTATGATTTACCCACAAATGAAGAGAGAGTTGACACAATAGAAACTTCTTATAAATGTATGAATCTTGTCTGCATGGAGAAGCGGAAATGTTTCTCTTAAAAGTAAAATAATTGAGGACACCATACCCACAATGAAGGGAAGTACTGAAATGCTAAAATCACCGATAGTTTGATGGTTTTTAAACCCACGTTTGGTGGAATGAAATGTGGTAGTTGTCATTTTCATATGTGGCTCTTTGAATTTTGATGTGTTCATTAGAAATCAAACGCCTTAATTGCTCGTCATTTAAAGGGTAAATACTGGAAGTTCTTTTCTGTAGGTGCGTTTGTTAGGCGTGGTGTCCAAAGGTCAGCCGACCCTGGTGGTGATGGAGCTGATGACCCACGGTGACCTAAAGAGCTACCTGCGTGGTCTCAGGCCGGACTCTGAGGTATGCGGCGCAGAAATCCTCCTCCTGGAGCTGGAGATCAATACAGCCAAAGGATGCTTCGTGCTCATATTCAAATGCGTGGCTGACTCTGGGGGTGGGGGCTGGGTTTTACAGAACAACCCCACAGGCCGTTCACCACCTACGCTGAAGGAGATGATCCAAATGGCAGCAGAAATTTCGGATGGCATGGCCTACCTCAACGCCAAGAAGTTTGTCCACAGGGACCTGGCAGCCCGAAACTGCATGGTGGCAGAAGACTTTACCGTCAAGATTGGAGGTACCTTTTGCTCCTTGTTCGAACTGCAATTGCATTTCATCTGTTATTTGTGTGTTTCGGTCAAATTGAATCACAAATCTCTCCCCCTCCCGCTCATAGACTTTGGTATGACCCGAGACATCTATGAGACTGACTACTACCGTAAAGGAGGTAAGGGCCTGCTTCCTGTCCGGTGGATGGCGCCAGAGTCTCTGAAGGACGGCGTCTTCACAGCCCACTCGGACTGCTGGTGAGTCCCCGTCCTATTGTCTTTCCAATCCCGACCACTTTGCCGGGGGCCATTTGATCTCATTTGGTGGTTTGTGCGTCGGCAGGTCATTTGGCGTCGTGCTGTGGGAGATCACTACGCTAGCAGAGCAGCCTTACCAGGGTTTATCCAACGAACAGGTTCTCAAGTTCGTCATGGATGGAGGATACCTGGACCGGCCGGATAACTGCCCGGAGAGGATGTGAGTAAACGGCGCACGCCGCCTCCCTGGGCCACCTTGTCTCTCCGGCTTTATCATTAAACTATATCCTCTCTGGATATTCTGATCTCTCAGATGGAGGATCCTTGCAAACATTTTCAAGGAGTCGTTTTTCGACCGATGCCCACAATTCATGTTAATCTTGCAGCAAAACATCATAATATTGTGTACGTGTGGAATTGTGGAGTAGTTTCCTACTGCAGGAGCTACTCTGCTGTAATCAACCAGCACACGGCCTTCTCATGGAGCTCATTGTCAAAGTCATTTTCCAATAGAATACTTTATTACTTATTTTGTGGGCCATGGGAGTTGATTGATTAATTGAGTGACTTGGGGGCTAAATGCCTCAGAGGGGTAAAGCTTTGTATGCCTTGATCTCCCTTTTCCAGGCACAGCCTAATGCAGATGTGTTGGCAGTACAACCCCAAGATGCGGCCGTTGTTCCAAGAGATCATCGAGATGTTGCGCGAGGACCTGCACCCGTCTTTCCACGATTTCTCCTTCTTCTACAGCGAGGAGAACAAAGTCCCAGAGACAGAGGAGTATGACCTGGACTTGGACAACATGGAGAGCATCCCACTGGACCCGTCTTCGTACTCCCAGAGAGAGGAGAGCTTAGGCAGGGACAGCGGGCCCTCGGCGGCCCGCAGGGGGAACTATGAGGAGCACGTCCCCTACACACACATGAACGGTGGCAAGAAAAACGGACGAATCTTATCGTTGCCCAGGTCCAGCCCTTCCTAACCTTTCCTGTTTCCTAAGAGACCTTGTTTAACCCCACGCCCCCCTTTCCCATCCCAGTCTTTCTCTTCCAGTCGATTGTTTTCTGTATCTTTCATGTTCCTCTCATCGGTTTCTGATTTTCGTATTCTTGGAGAAACCCTTCAAAAAAAGACACCCAGATCTCAGGACTTTTTATTTTCTTCCTCGCGGCTGCCGCACACAGGCAGGCGAGGAATGCAAACACGGTGTAACTCTTTTTTTAACTTCCTCAACTACACATCGGACTTTCTATTACCGTATTATCTATTGTTTTTCACTATTGGCACGTTTCCGGGAGTCCTTTGTGATGGAAACAGAGAAAAAACCAAACTGTGAACACAAAAAACCTTAGACAACCAAGAAGGCTGCTTATGCTCAACACACACCCCCCCTCCCAGACTTGCCCCCCCCCCCATCTGCATTTACACATTTCTGTGCTTTGTTTTAAGTGAAATCCTTTTACTGAAATAGTGGCCTTTTTGTATGTGGCCTATAAACAAAGAGAAGTGTCCATCAGTGCTTATACTAATTTCCCCTTGAACAACGGCTTAATCAGTTTGGAACAGTGGGAAGACTTTATTTGTAGAACAAATATCTATTCCTGGAGGAATGTTTTCTTAAATTTTTTTTCTTTGTTTGTTCGGTTCTGCAGAATTCCTACATTCATCGGGTGTTTGGTGAACAGTTTTAATTTATTTGCTTCAATGTTATTTTCCTCTTCCCTTTCTCAGTTTTATTTCTGTGTCCTCACGATAAGGCTGAAGGATATTTAAACAAATAAGAATTTGACAAAAGAGTTCCTCGGACTGACCAATAGCTGCTGCTTTGATATATTTTAGTGGGTATATAAATATATAAAAATGATATATGCTATATATGTAATATTGGTAGTTATGTACCGGTATTTCATATATAATATATGCTATATTGATGTTTTTGTAAATAGTCCATATTTGTAATATTTTCATCAGAAGCTTTGCTAGTATTTTATTTTGCCAGGTTTTTTCTTTCTGGGTTTTTTAAATTTTCTTATTTTTATAGCCCAAGAAATCACACTAAACTACCACCAGTGCTCTCTGTGTCTTAGGCCTCCAGTCCCTCTTGAGTGCTCTCTGTTCGCGTCAGTGGAAAGCGAGACGGCCCACCAAGTATTGTGAACCCACTGCATCCTTTTGGTTTTTAAAACCTCGTTCCCTCTGAGAACCGAGGAGAAAACTGTACTGCAGCAATGAAAAAACAAAATAACCAAAAAAAAAGAAGCTTTATAAAAGGGGCATGAGGTCTTTCTGGGTGGAAGTGCACCTGCTGTTTTTCATCTGCTGTGTCTCTCTGGTCGGGTCCCGCTGGAGCCGAGGGGCTTCGTGTGTTTTCTTGTCGCAGGTTCATAATGTCTTCTTCACGCGATTCTTCTCCGGTTGTCGTCGTTAACGGTCACTGAGGTCAGAGCTCGTCCTTTCCTCCATGTGACTGTGCCTCCTTGTGTCGGCGTAACACTGACTGCTTGTTTCGCGAGGGCGGGGAGGAGGGGTCGCCACGGTGAATACAGGTGGATGAAACCATGAACGGAAGCAGTAGCCCCTCCCCCTTTACACCTCACCTGAGATCTGCTTCAGTTCAGGACCTCGGTGTTTGAATGGAAGGTTCTATTAAATTCATGTTCCCCTCTCGTTGTTGTTCGGTTTTGCTCTGCAACACACACACACACACACACACCTCCTGCATGCTCTCCCCCCTCAGTCTTCCCGAGGCTTCCCATTGGCTGCAGAACTCACTGCTCAAAACCAGGCTATTGGAAATTTCCACGTTTTGTGGTTGAGGGGCTGTAGAGATAAACGGAAAGTTCCCACTGTGTCCACAGCAGCCAGTGAGGAGAGGGGCCGTGTCTCTATCTCTCTGAGAGGGGACGGGTGGGGGGGGGGGCATTGTTAATCCTGTTATCCTCTGTGCTATCACATGCCGCTGGGCCGTCAGGACACGGTGTGCAGCAGCTGTTTCACTCAGGTCTGACATTCCAGGGTTCAGTTGGAACTGCTCGTTCCCCCGTTTTTTTGCCCGTCGGTTGATAGAGCTGATCCCATCGCCGCACCCCGTCGGATTCAGAGCACACACGAGCAAGACTTTGTCTTACCTTCTTAATAATCCAATATCTGAAGTTTCCCCCCCCCTCCTGTCCGGAATCAAACACATTCCTTTCCACCGCACCGCGACTCAGAGCTGCATGAAAGTATGCTGCTGATCCGCCATCGAGGTAATTAATCCACTACGACCTTCATCCGGAGCCCACGGGCCTTTTTAGAGTTTCACAGCAGATCCCCCATAACAACTCCTTTCTCACCCTCTCTGTATCCACAGCAGTCAACAGACTTTGACTTTTTTTTGTGTGTGGTGTGGTTGCCAAACGGCATTCAGCACTTATAGTACAGCCAAAGTGTTGGCAGCTTTCTGTGAACAATGACAACCCACAGAATCAGAGCGAGAGAAAGCAGGGAAGCTGCCTCCATGTTTTACCAGTGCCTTCTCAAACCCACACTCAGCTACACACACACACACACACACACACACACTGTGCTCTTTCTGTATTTCTTCTCCTGAGGCAGGAGAGGCAGAGACACCAACGCTGCATTCGTGTTTCGTAGCGTTGTGCAACTTTGTTCTTTGCTGGAAGGGAAGTAGAAGTGTTTGGGGCAGTTTTATTTTTTTTTTAAATGCTGTACTATTGGTTTTAGCGCGTCGCCGGCGTGCGGTCTGAACACCCACGTTCACTTAGTGCTTTAGCGTTGACACTGTGGATCGGCCCGAGTCCGGGCCGGTGTGCACTCGCAGGGGCCCCGAGGTCATGAAGTAGATTTTAGCTAATTATTCTGAGGAGTTCCAATCTTGGGCTTTTTGTACTTTGTAAATAATTTGACATAGTTTGGAAACAAAAGCAGAAAAACATATATATTAAAAAAAAGAAAGAAAGGAAAAAAAAGAAAGATCTGACGCCGCGTCAGTTTTGCGTACATGACAGAAAAAGGGGTGGAGCTCAGCTGTGTTTCAGTTCCACACTACATACTAATACTAAAGGATAACTTTAATGAGCAGTTAGTACATCCTTGTCTACACTACGTACAGTAAATCCACTTAGAATTAGTATGTTATATAGAAATGGGACATTGCTCCTGTCTCCACCTTTTATCTAGGTTGCTTATCTTGTGGTGGTGTTCACATGCATATGCAATTTTTAATTAAGATTGTGCCCATATCTTTGAAATACCAGATATTTATTTTATTATGATCATTGTCATTGAATAAAAAAGAACACGGTTAGCTTTTTAGTTGAGCATTTTTACCGTGTTTCAGACTAGAGCGACGTAAACGCCTAGTTTGTTATTGTACAGGTAGCGGATGGTGAGCAGGAGTGCTAGTTAGTTAGTTAGTTTGTGAGTAAGTAAGTAGTTGTCGTCGTCGTCGTCTTTGTGTTTGGCCAGAGTCTACCTCAGTGCATATGGATGAATCAGTCTAAAGAGCCGAAAATCTTTACCCATCAGCTCCTCAGAATCCGATTAATTCAAATAATATCTCTTTATGGTACAACACTGCTGTTGAATTCCTCCCTCCTTGTTTTCTCTTCTTTTTTTTTGCTGAGGGAAGCTGTTTCCTGTGTTGATATATTTGGGGTATTTTGGCCCTGCTCTGTTTATGAATGTCCTGATTTTGGCGTTACGGGATAAACTTAAGATATAAAACTATTATCCCGCCGCTTTTACATCTTTCACCCCGAGCACTTACTCAAAGTGGAAAGTAACGGCCTTTTTCAACAGTTTCTAAAGTTAAACTAAATGCTCTGGAAGGAGCGGTGTAGCTTTATTGTGCATATTGGCCTTTTCCACATTCACCAATCCTCCGGGCCGTTTGTGCTAGCGGCTCTACTGGCTTCCTGGGGCAGTGGGACATTAACACAAATCGCTTGTCTCTGAATGCCCCCGGGCCCTCATGCTTCTTTAAGAATCCCATCTAGGCCCTTTTGTCTGCTATAAAGCCCAGCTTTTTTTCTCCAGTCTGTCTCTTTATTGTCAAAAGCGGTGAGCGTTCAAATCACACACTTCCTCCAGTGGGGGTCGGGAGATTTGTCTGTTCTTCTGGGCTCATTTTTGTTTTGGTGGGTATATTTTTTTCCACGGGGAATATCAAGACGCTGTCCGGGACATTGATTTTTGAGTTGATTAAAAAAGTTTTTAAGGGGGTCCCCCCCCCCCCCCCCCCCCCCCTGCAAATGAAATATAGCTAGACTGGGACTGTGTGCCATAAGAACTGTTAGCAGACATGAACTCTAGATTGTAACTTTTCCTCTCAGGGAGGCTGCCTGATACTTTGGTTGGGGGATAAAGAGGAGACAAGGAGGAAGAACAGCTACCTATCTTTTTTTTAATCTACTCACAGCATCCTTGCATCAATCAACAAGGAGAGGAAAACTCCAAGGACGAGTTTTCAACAACAAAAACCCAAACGCCCTTTTCATGAATCTGAAAACCTTCTGGCCTTCTGAAGATGGGGATGTGACGTGTGTGGACCGCCCTCTGGTGGTTGGATGGGAGCATTGCAGGTCGGGGCAAACAGGGCCCGCAGATCCTTGCCCCCCCCCCCACCATCCCCCCTAAAGAATAGTTTCCATTTCTCAAACGTGATCTGAAAAACACAGGAATTGTGGGTCTTTTGGGGGGGATTCTGTGTTCTTTAGTTGGTAACTGCAGAGAAAATATTCTCACTGCTTGGTTGGAAAAGGCTGTAATTTGGATTTAGTGATAGTTGAGCTGCTCGGATCTTGCTTGCCTTGTGCATAGAAAAAGAATCGCCTACATCAGCAATTTGATTCTTACTAATTTTTTTCTTTATGCGATTAGTATGTTTTGACAGCGAGGCCCAAAAAAACACCCTAAAACCCACGACTAGCGTCAAGTGAATGCAATACAATTTGGGGATTTCCATTTTGGTACATATTGTTATTTCACAATAAATAAATGAAAGAAACAAAGTAATAATCCCTCAACTGTAAATAGCGGCAAATTCCCCCGACCCACCCTGAAAACAAAAGTACTTCATTTTAAGGAAGTTTAGGTTTGTTTTGTTGAACAGAGCATGCAAATAACGCCGCGCAGGGCGAGAACAAAGCATCGTATGTATTATTGGTTTGTTTTAAAGGAAAGAAAGAAGTATTACATTTTGGAGATGTTTCCCAATTATTTTTTTGGCCAAAGGACGGCGAACACAATTACCTTTTCTGACTGTAAACTTTTACGACACTTGTACGATATGAATTTAACGATGCTATCAAGGTGTATATAACTTTTTTTTTTCTTCTAAATGTAAAGAGATTTGATTTATTTGTTCTTCTTTTCGTGACACAACCCACTACACGGAAAGCAAAGTCAAGTCTGTCTGTGTATTTAAGAGGAGCTTCACCCCCGTGTAACGAGACACAAACATTACGCGGCCTGAAACGTGTCTCAATGCATGCGTGCATTTCAAACCACCCGCCCACAATAGCATGTCAGCCGTGAAGCCTTTGAGTCACAAAAAACATGTCACCTACCACGGATGTTGTATGAAATAGTTTCTGACAAAACGGATGTTTAGTTTGCAAATGTGTTGTTTTATTTGTTGGGTGTTTCTTTTTGTATGTTAAAAAAAAAAAAACTGGAAAAGACCACTGCACATCCTTTTTGAATAAGAGGAAAACTGAGTGATAAAATCCCGAATAAGCTAAAAACCACCATACAACTTAGAGTTCGGACTGTAGAGCTGGAGGATGTTGGGAAAAATGAAAATTGCCTTCCTGGCATGTTTGATGAGAAGGTGGATAGCATCCAGTTCAGCGTGGCTAACAAGATCACGATCAACAAAGAACACATTATGTCTTGTTTTACTTTATTGGTACAAACGCTGTACCAAAGGAAAATTGTAAATCAGCATTTTAGGGGGGATGACGGTGAGACGTTCAGGATCTATTCGAGTGTCCAGGAATTAGCACCTTGCAAATGACCATTTGAAACTTGTCCTACAACGAGTCAATGAGAGTCACGCAAGCTGTCTCCCCGACCCCCCCCCCCCCCCCCCCCCGTGTTATTGATCAGGGAGAGATCCGCCATTGTTTAAAGGGGCGGAGGGGGTGCAGGTGGGGCGACAAATCTGAGGAAAGGCCAGCGTCCTCAGTTTTAAGAGTCATCTGTGGGTCCAGTGGTCTGCTCCAGTTTATACACCGATACCTTCTATTTATCTCTATCCTGTTTCCCGTGCTGTGCGTTGGTTAAATCGATGGGTTTGTGTGCGTGTCGTCCTCTGATGAAGTCTCTACCACGGCTTTCTCTGTCTCCGATTGCGGCTCTTCCTCTCTGAGTCTTTCTCTCCTCAGTGCACATAGGTGGCCCCCAGAACGCTGTGTGTCGTCTCGCAGGATACCTCTTCTTCAATGTCGTTTGTCGCCGATGAATATGCTGATGTGTTAATTTTGGGATATGTTGTGTATACGTTGTGTTGAGACGCCGACGCGTGTGCAGACAGCAGGAATATGTCTTTCATGTACAGTCCGAAAGAAACCAAACCAACCCAGATTGCTTCATCCCTCACACTGGATCCAAATGTGCCATTATCTTTATGTATCACAGATATCAACATATTGAACACAGACACACACAGACAGAAATACATGCATATTGTACAGGATCAAAAATGTGCCATGACTAAATGAGCGCTTGACAATTTATTTTTTCTATGTTTTCAAAGGAGAGCCAAGTAGTGACATGTACAGAAAATGTTGCAATGATATGAAAATTAAAATCTTGCTGTGTGTAAATTATTCAACAATTAACTGTTTATATTAAAATTATGAATAAAATTATTGGAGAATATGTGTATTTGTGTGGCTTTTATATGGACTGAGTCAGACTGCCAGAAAATGTTCAACACGAGGAGAATCATTACTTTACTGTGACTGAAAAAATGACTGTAGCACTATGGAGGAAAGTATGTGTTCCCAAGTACAAACTTTGAGGTACTTTTGGTACTATTTCCGTTTGGTGCTGCTCTATACTTTTACTCTACCACGTGTGTTTGATGGGTTACGTTCTTTATCTCACAGGCATGCAATTAGAAGTATGACTATAAATGTGTTTATTGCTTTACATAAAACTCCCTAACCGCATATACAATAGTTATCTTCCCCTGGACCAACTACAGCTTTAAAATGCTGCTCACATCAGTTGCATGTCACCCGTAAAGCCTTTATGTCTCAAATGTGTCACTTATCATGAATGTTTTCTATTAAATTCTTAGAAGTGGGTTTAGACCACTGCACATTTTTATAATATCCTACACATTTTTTTAAATTGTATGGCTATTTACAGTGAAATCTAAACTCTCAATACTTCTTCCATTGGTTTTATTTTTTCTTTTCTTTTGTTTTTTGGGGCGTCAAAGGGCGTCTTGACTGTTTGAGGGGGGGTCTAAATCATTTCTTCACACTTCTTTGCCAACACGCTCCTATTTAAACCTGCTTCCTGCTGATCTGAGTGTCTTAGCTTACAATGCGGTTGCAAAACAAAGAATGAAATCGACACAATTGAACCTGCACCTTTTCCACTTGAGTCCGTAACTCCACCGCACCGTTTTCTCTGCATCTGCTCAACGTTTGTGCATTTCATAACCTCAAAGTGAAAGACACGGAGATTGACGAAGAGACGCTCCGACTCAAACCGCCGTAGACGCAGCTAGTTCCTCCTAACCCACTTTCACAGGCGGCGTCAAAACACGCAGCAACAGCGTCAACTCGCGCGGCGCCACAGCGGCGATCGGACTGATCGAAGGATGGATGCACTGACTCGTGAATGCATGCATCGCCTTCGGCTTTTTTTTTTGTAGAGAGGGGGTTAGCTCCATGAAATACGTTTAAGAGTTTACTGTGTAAACATTCTCAGAAAACCTGAGCCGTGATGACACGCTTCTTAAAAATAGCCGCCACGTGCGCCGCGGTGTGCGCGTCCTCTGCGTCCTCTGTGGCGCAGAATGACAGAAAGAGGAAGCGGGGCCGCGGTCCTGCGGCCGGCTCGCAGCCTTTCTGCAGTCAGTGAGAACACAGCGACGGGCTCCACCAACCGGGACCCCCGTTCCCCGTCTTCTGCCTCGCGAGGAGGGACGTGCTGCTGCCACCCGTCACCCCAAAGATCGTCAAATGTAAGTATAGTGCACTTTGGGGGGGGGGGTCTGTGTTTGTGCACTTCGTCACGTATCTCTTCCCCCCGCAAGAGAGTTGTGTTTTAGTGCATTTCTCTCTCCTCTTGTCTGTGGGAACAGCGAGAGACTTTTCCGCTTGATGTGCAGTGAGCTGAACTTGACAGTGATCCGTAGTTACACTTGAGAAGGTTAAGAAGCACAATGGTTGCAACAATTTGTCAGGCTGTGTGTGTGTGTGTGTGTGTGTGTGTGTGTGTGTGTGTGTGTTTCTCTCTGCTGTACGGGGATGGTTCCACTTCACAGCTTCTTGCATTTCTTTTAAAAGACATATCTCGCTTTAATTCTCTCCAGAAAATGTGGCGTAAGTCAGCCTTTCAAAAAAGTGTAACGTATCATCGCCCTGCTTGTATTGCGCGTACACTTCCTCCTCTCTTTTTCTCTTTCTGCTGTATTTCCCTGATAGCAATAACATATTTGAACTGCAAACTGAACAGCGAAACACGCTTGTTTGAAGCCCTGACTTTGTTTCGGTTTTATCAGCTTGAAACCTTTCTTGGTCCCTTCACACTGTATCATATATAAGTCTGATAACAATTCAACACATCCAAAGCAAAACCTTGAGGCCTCCTGTTCTCTTCCCACTCCTTTTTTTTGTCTTTCTTGCCCTTATCGTGTCTTCACTTGAGTCTTTAGAGCGGTAATCCCCAACCAGCAGTTCCCTTGCTTTGGACTCTCTCTCCCTCTCCTTTCATTTCCCCTCCCTCCGTCCCTCGTTTCCCCTCTTGCTCTCTCTCTCTCTCTCTCTGTCTCTCTGTCTCTCTCCCTTCCTCTTGCTTGGTGCAAGAGCTCCAGCGTGAGAGAGCTCCAGTTCCAACTGGCCTCCCCACTTTGCTGCTCGAATGGCGGACTCTTCCCTCAACAACTCCTGGCCCTCCTTCTCCAAGCTCTGGATGAAGAGATGGTCCTTCAAGCGAGGTAGAGGTTCTGCGTGTGGTCGCCGCTTTCACCGCTTTTTGGTTTGTTGGATAGAACGGAGGGCGTGGGCTGGAGGTGACCTTAGGACAGGAGGATGTGTTATCCGTTGTTCACCATTTTAACCTGATTGGGGCGTGTGGTGAGTGACGTTTGCTGTGTGGCAGAAGAGTTTTCTTTGCAAAGTTCAGGGACTCATTTTTGTCGCTGCATTGTAGAAATGGCACTATATGCACCTACAGCTGAGAAGGAGCCTTTGGTTATTCATCCATATCTAATCATTTGGTGTGGAAATGCTTCAGTAAATGTAGAGTTAACAGCCTAAACAAACCTTTTTCTTCATGATGTTTGGTGTGAGTTTACAGTTTTACGATCAAACCTAATGGGAAATAAATCACTCAGAAAGTCCAGATGAAAGAGACTGACGAGTTTTATGATATAAAACCGTCTGTTCCCTGTTATTCTCAGAAGAATAGGACTTTTTTCTCTTACGAAGCCGTGTGCATGCTTCCATTCAGCTTTGAGCCGCGGCGTCTGTGTAGATCGACACTTTGAAACCGTCGTTGGACGAATTTGTGATCAAAGCGGATCTGTGAGATGTTTTTTTGATGTGCGCTTCAACCTCAGATCTAACAGCCTCCGCGTTCTGTTTTAAACAGACACAACCTCTGTCACACACACACCCCCCCCACACACACACACACACACACACAGGCACACAACTGACACCGGTTGGTGAGTCATCCAGGTACCGAATTGTCGTTAGGACCCTTAACACAAACACTTCATCAGATGAGTTGATTTAATATATCTCTGTTAGGTGACTTACAACTGGGCCTTTGGTCATAGACTCATCACGCTAATTCCAAATAATCAACTGACCGTATGATGCCAACATGACAATCACAAGAGTTCCTCTTGTGATTGTCATGTTGCCTTTCAAAGGTATGCGCATAAGCTGTGTGGGGAACATGTGCCCTCGTTTCCTTCTTTCTCACTGTTGCTTAAATGTCTTTTCCAGAGCTCATCGAACACAAACAGGGGCTACGCCCTCGAATCTCCCATCTACATTTTTTTCATCCACCGTAGTTTTTTGTAGATTTAGTTATGTTTACTGTTGTTGGAATCATTGCTCTCCTTCCCTTTTCATTATTTCATTCATTATTATATTGTTGTACTATTTAATATATATACTGTTATAGTTTTACGTTTTACTCTGAAGAGACAAAACAACTTCAGTTACATGAATTCAGTACGATGGCAAATTCATTGTAGGACAAGTCGATCACAAGTCAAGTCAGTTTGACTTAAGAACAAAGTCAAAACGTAACAATCTGCAGCACGTGACCCCTCTGTCAGTGACTTCTCTCTCTGAATACGACAGTTCTGCTCTTTTGATTATAACAATGCTTGAAATGATTGGAATCATATACAGAAATGACACTAATGACTTTTTATGACGAGCCTCCCCGGACCGCACATCTCTGCCCTTTATCCCTAACCTTGATTTGAAAATACAATAAAAGTAATACGTTAATACTTGTATGTATTAGATTAATTAGATATTCAGTGACGATGTGTGTTACTGTAATTTATTATGTGATAATAGTAATTTGTTGCACTAGCAGGCCACCCTGTTATGTGGAGACATACTGTGGGGAAAACAGCTGACCATGACAGTGCCAAATGGTTATGGAGACACACACACACACACACCTGAGCAGACACGCACTCGCTTGCACACAGTGACACACACACACACACACTCGTGTTTCGTCCGTGTGTGATATATAAGCAGATACGAGAGGCCGACCATAAAAGGCTGCGGCAGCGCTACTGGACAACATCAAGCAGCTGCAGCACTCTGTACGGAGTGTTTGAGTTTACACTTAACACCAGTTTGGACCCAAACTAAATCCTGCCGCGGTGACGCTGCCACTCCCCCCCCAGCTTCAGGGGGGTGATTGAGTATTATAGATCTATACGGTGTGTTTATGTGAGGGCATCCTTGGCTGTGGAGCGGATGCTGCTGGTTTGTAGACGTGGTGCAGCACTCAGATCCATTTGATCTCACTGCACAACGGAACCCGAGGTCGGCGACTCACACACAGACACTAATCAAAGCGGTCAGAAATATGATCGGACGGCCCACCAGGATATGTATGGGTATCTATAATCCAATGCGATGTAAATTGCACAATGGATATATATTATATATTCATATGTGTTTTAAGCTTAATCAAAATTTAATTGAATGCATTATTTCATTGATTGTGTGCTTCACAGCATATTTTATGCTACTGGCATGTTTTTGTTTCTGACCACAGTCCTCCACAGAGACAGAGCAGCGTCTCAGCTGAAACATGACGTCAGCAGCCGCAGTTCACCTGTTCCCACTCATCATTGTAAAGCTCAGTTTCACAGGAACCGTTATGAGATCGGGCTTATGCAACTTGTCGTAGCTGCGTCGCTCCCTTCTTACCTCAAATATGTGATCTCCAGCTCCACACTGTGCAGTTCCTTTACATAGCATCCATTTAATGTTACATTAAGCAAGCAGTTCCTCGGGCTGCTGAAAGCTCAGTGAGACCATAATCTCCGGCTCTCCAACCACCGCTGCTGGCTCATCACGCAGTTTGCAGTGACGTCAGTGTGAATCCAGGAATGTGTTCATGCAATGGAAACGTAAAGAATCTTTTGGTGAGAGGACGTGAGCAAATGGGCTGTAACTGAGCTTGTCTTCCATCACTGAAGTTGATCACACAGGTGTTGTGCAGCTGCTAAAATCAGCCTCATTGTGTACTTTTCCCCCCCTCATGGTACAGTTGAAACATTGACTTTTTTCATATATATATATATATATATATATAACTCCCAAACATCACGTTCATTACCTTTCAGCATCTGAGTGCAAGCCGTGTAGTCAGCCCTGTGGGTCTCCCAGTGCACAGCTCGGTGTCCAGCCTCACGGTGGTACAGGCTCCTCCTCCTCCTCCTCCTCACTGTCTCCTGCCTCGGTCACTGAGGAGGTCTTCTTTGGGAGCATCAATAAAGATCAGGTAAAAGATTTGGATCATTTATGTATATTCAATTTAGCGTTGATTCCTTTTCGGCTGCGTTGCTGTTGTGATGGAAAACTCTGTCGGACTAAAACAACTCAATACTTAATGAATGGATTTAAATTTGGTACATCCTGTATTCTCATGACTATGGTGACTTTTCATCCTCCGCCACAGTGAGATTACCTTTTTTTTTTTTACTACTGGATGGACTACAGCAACAATTTGTTCGGACATTCATCTCCCTCCGAGATGCATCGCGATACCTTTTGATCATCTGACCTTAAAAACTAACCAGGTCAAAGCTCACTTAGCAACGTTAGCATCGTCACTATGAGCTTGTATTAAGCTGAAAATAAATGTTAGCATGGCAATGTACTTAAGTTACTTAAATTGTGGATGGAAGCTGGTGTTCAGTGTATTTGACAATATACACTGATATTGTATCAGTGTATACAATGTATTCATCTCCTCTGTTTCTTCATGCCTGTGTCCTTGTTCCTCTCTTTCTCCTCTGCCTTTTTAAATGCTACACTTTCCTGCCTTGGCTGATTTGCAGGATGCGTGTTCAGTAGTCAGCGACTATGATTTCCCCTGTGCCGAGGTGAGAAGCAGTCTGGAGGACTTGCTGGGCCTCGCCAGAGACTCCGAGTACTTAAAAGACCTGGAAGGAGGGATACCGGCTGCACAGTCGACTTCATCCACGGTGACCATAGTCCCGCGGAGCCACACCCCAAGTGTTGGCCTCCAGGTAGCCCTAAACTCAAAGTTAGGTCCTGCTCTCCTCCAACCCAGCCAGACGTCTTTGAGCACACACTCCACTCAGGTCTATGCAGCATCTTCCCCCACCTTCTATATTCACCCTGCAGTGGAACCCCATCAAAACTTTGTGGTCAGCCAGCTCAACCCCAAATTGTTGCCAGGTTGTATCATTGACAGCGGCGATTCCTCAGGCCCCGCCGTGGGGCTCAGCTTGACATTTAATCTGAGTGGACTGTTGGGATCAATGGAAACCGCCGAAGGCATAACGGGATCAGAAGAAGTAAACGAGCAACCCACCATGGAGTCAGACGGAGAGTCGGACCTGGACAGCTGTCCCATTCTGGTCAGATCCATGTCAACGTCTAGGAGGCACAGCTGGGGTGTCCCCGTGTCCCCCATCAACCTGGGGAGGAGGTAAGACGGAGAGATAGTTGTAGCGGATGAAGAGAATTGACTGGAACATTCTCATAGGAATAAAAACATCTCCTCCCGAGCTTATGAAGTCTACAGTATGTTTCAGCTGAGCTCAGTGTTTCTATTGGTTTAGGTGGTTGTTCTCTCACAGCTTTCAAAATAATGCAGTCAAGGTTACTTTTAGTTACCAGAATTTAACCCCTGCACCAAAATGCTTAGTGACATCGAAAGAAAAACGAAGGCAAATAAAGGCAGGGCATAAATGGGTCTTGCTTAAAAGTGTGTGGTTAAAAGTTCCTGTGTGTGTGTGTGTGTGTGTGTGTGTCTGCCGCTGTGCTGCCAGACTGAGTCTGGATACCACGGCCATGGACAGTGATGGAGAGAGAGAGGATGATGAAGAGGGAGAAAAGGGTCTCTTCCAGCCCTCCCTGCCGCAGACCTCCGGCTGCACAGCGTGTCCAGGAGAGAAGACAGATGGCGCCGGGCCGATGGTCCCCTGTCCGAGAGCCAGACTCACCAGCATGGTAGTAAAGCAATAGTGACACATTAAACAGATTATTGTCAATAAATCTTACCTCAAGACCAGAATGGCGGTTCCATAGCCAAGCGGTTTCCACTGATGACTCATAAAACCCTAAAACATTTCAATAAAAAAGGCTATTGCCTAAACGTTTTCAGGAGATGTGGCCCGAACAAGAGGATATACCCATTTGTTTGGGTGTTTATTATCAGCCGTGGATTAATCTGCATTTAATTAACTTGTGATTATTTACAGTGTGTGTGGGATTGAGGAAGACGTTAACGTGTCACCCAGTGGAACAGTTTGGCTCATCGATGATTGTTTTAAATCAACCGAACTCTAATAAGATAAATGCTAAACAGATGATACAGATCAAATGGTTGTTGGTGTTCTTTCATGTTGAACACTCCAGATGATCTCCTGATATGGCCTTCTGCTGGTTCCATATTCAGCCACAGCTTGAATACCTGACACTAATTCACCGAGGGCAGAATCTGTCTGTTCTGTGCAAAATATTGCTAAAAGTCATCATGATACATTATTTTTCCAACTGTATATTTGGGGCTGGAGGTAAAACACATCAAATGGGCCCATGGTGTACATTTGTGTTTCCCCTCCAACGCTTTCAGGCCGTTGGCGCGCGTAGAAGGCATCTGTACTCCCGCTCAGAGATCCTCGCCACAGATGAATGTTCCCGTGCTGCGCACATTTCCCGTGTTGTGCAGACATCCAAACAGGCCGCAACGGCAGCAGGAGGTGGGGCTGAGATGTTATGCAAGTAGAGCTCATCTTAGTTTATGTGTTTTGCACTCGGCAGGCAGCCGTTTTTCTTATTTTACCGTTTCATCCCTTCTTCCGCAGCGGAGGAGTTTGACCCTGAGGAAAACTTACACTCTACTGAAGGACACAGCCATACGTAAGCACAAATATCAATTGCATCTCAAGCTCGAGTAAGGCCAAACACCAATTATGACTCGCAAGATGTGGTGGAATATCGATTTCCTCTCCTAAAGATGCCTCAGACTGACTGGCAGCTCCGGTTAAATGATGCTTAAAAGAAAGAAAAATTCACTCCTCTGGTTTGATCCACAGGAGGCAACTTGTGATCACTCCTGTTTCCTCTAAATTACACCCATTGCTTTTGAATGGTTCAGTGCAATAGTTCACTGTAGTTGTAAATTGTTAGTCTGGTACTCCCACATAAGGGGGGATGGGGCTTCCCCCACTCCCTCCTGACATTTCTGCTCCATGTCATATGTCTGCAACCTCCTCCTCCCACAGTCTTGTTGCCCTGCTCCTTAGATGGCCCCTGAGCATGTGTTTGTGTGTGTGTGTGTGTGTGTGTACTTTATGTGCGCTCTGGTGATTGTGTGGACGCAGCAGTCAAGGGAGGATTCTTCCCTAAATCAGATCAGAGTTTGCACCTACAGTTCCCAGCAGTCTCACTCTCCCCTCCACTCTCCTCTCACTCTTTTCTTCTCCTCTCCTCTCTTTTCCTCTCCTCACTCCTCTTCTCCTCTCCTCTCCCCTCCTCCCTTTTGGCGGCCCCCACTCAACCTCAGTGTCTTGTTTGTCTTAGGCTGATGGTACAGAAAGTTCTGCAGGAGCTAAAGCTGTACCATGGGTAAGTAAACAGGAGACGGACCCTCAAACGCTCCTACCTGTATTCAGAGGGGCAGCAGAGCCAGATCCAGGGGAGCACTGCACTGTGTGTGTGGGTGTGTGTGTGTGTGTGTGTGCGTGTGTGTGCACCTTACATGTATGTGCATGCATGTTTGTGGCATGTGTATTTGCATGTGCCTCTTTGGGCCCTGTCGCAGTATTCCATCATCTCGTGAAAAGAGTCTGTGGAGAAATAAAAGGGAAAATAATGTTCAAAAAATCAATCGTTGACAATGAGCTCACTTGACAATCCAAGCCAGCTGACCGAGGGAAACACACGAGTTAAAAGTGCACCGCTGGCTTCACCACGTTATACTCTCAGATTGTCTCTTTTGCTTATTGATGGTTAAAGTTTTGGCCAGTTGCCATTGAAATTGAGTCTCTCTCTCCGCAATAGAACCTTCTCATTGTTCTCCGCAGAGCGAAGGAGAGGAACAACCGATCGGACAGTAAAGTTTCAGGAAATGTCACTTGGTACGAGTTCCTCTCCCATGAGTAAGTACTGTCCTATTGTCCTGTCGTTGTTCCCTTATTACTGAAGTGCAGACATTTTGGATGAAAATGAAAACGTCCACACACATACGGTGAATATGGTTCTGGTGTATTTACATAAAGCTGTTATTGGTATTGTACAAAATAAAGGCTATACAGTGAAAACTACACTATGGAATAATAATATTAATATAATATATTGTATTCAGAATATTTTTCTGTATGTTTGTATTTTCTTGGTATTTATTGCGTTTTCTGCTCCTTTGACCAGCCCTGAAGAGGAAGGGGAGGATCGTGCAGAGAAGTTGGAGAAAGGCACCAAGGTGAAGAGGACTCTCAGCTCGCTGAGGAACAGGGTGACTGGCTCCTTCAATAAAGATAAGGTAAACCTAGACCACACACACAAGGTGCACAACGTCACCTTGCAATAGAATAGATTAACCGATCTTCATTTTAAAAGACCAATTGCTGAGGCGTAAACAGTTCTCTGGTCTGCATGTGTCTGCACACACAAGTCCGTTATCCACTTACACACACCCTCTTATACATCCTGCCTCTGACACGGTTTTGCAATGTCAGGCCCAGCAAAGACGTGTGTGCCAAACTGAAAGAGAACACACACATTTCTGCTTTTCTTGTTCCTCTGCAGGGTAAGAGCCGAGAAAAAGAGCAGCAGAAAGAGAGGGGGAAGGAGAAGGAGCGGGAGGCTAAAGAAAAAGTGTGTGGCAGTAGCAGCAGAAATGGGCATTATTTGGTGCCGGGGGCTTTCTCCAGCTGTGCCTCCTGCTCACTGTGCAGCAAGACCCTGCAGAGAAAGCATGGCCTGCAATGCATGAGTGAGTAACACCACAACCACGAGTGTAAACACACCCACGCTTGCTCTCAGCCTGACACACAAATGCACAGGTGCTCCGCTCACGCACAAACGCACCTACTTAAAGCCAAACTAAGCATGAACGCTCACTCGCCCACTTGTTGAAGCACTAAAGTATACGGGCGCCCTGACCCAGGCTTCTTTTTTGCTTTGTTGATGTATCCGGACCATCAGAGCATGCTTTTAGTGCAGATACATGCATGTGAGCGGGCCGGCAGGTTACTATGTCGTAACCCAGAAAGATATAATCACTGCACGTGTCATTCTACATATTGATTGTGGCTTTTGCATGTTTCTGCTGTGAAGAACTTGCTGTTCCCTTTCAGTTCCTCTTTAAATAGTGCTAAATACAGATCTAAATGCTAACACACTTTAATATTAACACACTTTACACAATTGAGCTCACTTGTTTGGATGGGTTTTCTGATATATTAGCATCATCACCTGACATGTGTTTGTATGAATCTACAGCAGGACTGAGCTTTATTGCTCTGGCTTGGCATATTCTTCACAACTCCTGTGTCTTTTGTATGGTGCGTTGCTTTGTCAGTGCTAAGCACAACCCGGTGAGTCCATTTGTAGAGCAGACCTGCACAGGTCATCTCGGTATCTAGCAGCTCCGCTTTTTTCTGTCCCTCATATGCCATTCATATGCATTCTGCAGGACAGCTGATGAGCATCTAATAACTAATGAAAGACGTGTGCTTGTGAATAGAGTACAGTGGAAACATGCAAGGAGTCAAGGAGTCATTGTACTGCAAAAAAGCAGGAGTCATTCCTTTTGATTATAAGATTTTGTAAATAGAAGCCTCTTATTTATGAAATAATCAAGAGAGGTTAAACTGGTAAATGGATGGTGTAAAATGGGTGGATTTTAGAATTCTTACCCCCAGCATTTGGTAATAGATATATTTCATAAGGGAGCACTAAAGTGCAGTATGAAGTTAGAAATTTAAAAAATAAATAAAAAGGGAAATGGTCCTTTTTAGTGGAGATTAAGACAATAGTTTTGTAACATTGCTTAATAACATGCCATTTCACAGCAGCGCTGCTAGTGTTTCAAAGGAATCAAATTGTTATGAAATGGTTGAGAAATTGTAAGACAGCAAAATTATGACAAGCACACTAAAATTCCTCAAATCTGATTATTTTGCCATAATGTGGTAAAACATTTCTAAATCGCAATATTGAAGTACTTATTATGAAGATATGCACAACTTAAATAAGGTAAATAACAATCCATCATAATCTACTTATAAATTATAAACCCTGACATCTGGCACGAGGCGATGCACCGTTTGATTGTTTTTTTTAATAATGTCCTTAATAAACAAAACTGCTCTGGTACATTTTACGAGGCAAAAGGCCGCCGCGCTGCTTCTTTTAGACACTAACCAGCAAGCAAAAACGCATCAAGGTCAGGAGCAATTTCCCATTCATCAAGCAGGACTTGTTTACATCGATGAAGTTACTGATCCTACATTCTGAAACGTGATGTGCGCTGTTGGTGCACGCGCACGCAGGAGAAAACTAGTGCGTGTCCCTTTAACGTGAAGCCCGGTGGGGATTCAGCCTGTGGAATGCGTCGTTTGTGTGCCAGAGATTGTTCCCAGGGAGAGTAGCGCACCAAACTGGACAAAACCAACAAGAAAAAGAAAAGGAAAAAAAAAAAGAAGTGGGATACTTGTTGCTGTTGATCTCAATGGCCGAACAGCTTCACCGATCTCACGGACGGGATAGATTTGCTTTCGGGTGCAGCTGAATCGCGTCTCGTAACGGTAAGAGGCGGCGGCCGCGGCGATGGTCTCAAGCGGGATCAGGTGGATGACTCCCGTTGTTTCGCTCAATGGGCTCCTCGGGCACCCTGGCCGCTAGCTAGGCAGCTACATGCTAATCACAGTTAACCAAACGCTTGGTAAATCTCAAGTGTTACGGCGGGCTCGAGTCGGCGTACTCATCCGGGAAATCACTTCTTAAACGTCTTGCATATCCCTTTTCACCAGCCGGTCGAAATTGAATCACCAGTTACGTTTGACGTAACGTTAACGATCGCTAACTGTTAGCCACGCAATGCTAGCGCGTTAGCCCGCATTCAATCGCTTCTGTTTAAAAAAATAACAAGGTTATTGTTAGTTGCTCAAACAGTTTGCTTTGGAAGAACTCAAACGTTATGAATACAGACTAATGTTACGTGGACTCTGTGTCGTGGGTCACTGTTGCACAACAGCACTGAATGTGGCTCTTTTTCAGAAGTTAAGTATCGTTAGTCTTTGCCGCACCGCTCAACAGGTGATCTGCTAGCTCGCGTTAGCTCACGTTAGCTTCCGTGATAACTCCTGGTTTTTCACCCGAGGTCAGGTGTTAAAACGTAACGTTTCTAGCCGGCACAAGTGCGTGACGGACAGTACAAGCCATCCAAAAGTACAATTTGAAGTGTCTCTTGTTTTCTTTCTCTCACTCCCGCCCCGTTCGAGTCCAGACTGCGGCGGCTAACTGGCTCTCTGTGCTTTATGAAACTCCACAATCCTGCAATGTCATAAACCACGATTGACCATCTTGATCTTCAAATTCGGGCTTTTCTTACTTTATTTGTATTTTTTTACCTCTATGTTCTGCCTAAGCTTTCCCTCTGGGTCACATGCTGCTAATTGTGCTTGGCAGGTCTGCCGGTGCATAACAGCCCCCTCAGTGACTCCGGGTCTCACCCATCTCCCCCTGTTAGCACAGCACTTCTGCATGCATCACTGCTTTGCATCACTGCTTTGCCCTCCAGCATGCAGCCCCTCTCTCTCTCTCTCTCTCTTTGGTTTTATTACTTAAGTCCTGCATGTCTCCCTTTTGAGTACTTCTCACGAGATCCACAAACTCATTCTGATCATCTGCTCTTCATGGTTTCTATTGACCTTTTATTAAGAAGGACGGTGGACAAATAGATCTGGGTAAAGGACAAACAAGTTTAAGATGGAACATGATAATAAGACTCGGACTACGTGGGACTATCATTTGGAAGAATACAATTACTGCGATCTAGACGCGCTTTTGCCGTAGCTTTCCCCAAGCCTTATGTTGTAGTATAACCTGTTTCTACTGTGGTTTGTATGGGCCGAGAGATGTGACTGGGTGGGGGGGGGGTGTTTCGCCTCACAGAGTAAACAGCCCACTGAGCCCCTGTTTCTCCTTTCACGCGATGATGTCATGGTTTGGCTGGCCACTGAAAGGTCAGCCCCCAAGTGTTGAAGTCGTCTTGTCTCTATTGTCTCAGGGAATCAAGAGCGACCTCGTACCTACAGAGACCTTTTTTTTTTTTTTCAAAGAAGCCGTTGTGACCTCTTGTCCTCCTTTCTGCGGCTGAAGGGTTTTGCTACACACTGTGTGCTCGGGGTCACACCTAGTTTTAACATGGTTTCATACTATCTTAGTGTAATAGATGTTCACAGATAAATCAGTTTGGATGATAAGTAAACCACAGATGTTTTCCGTCCATCCTCCATCCGTGATGGACGGAAAATGAGTTAATGTTTCCCTGGATCAGCCCGGGGGGGAACGGTATACAGATTCCAGTATCTTTGATAGATAACACAAGACAAAACATTCAGTCTCTAGAGGAACAATTGTAGCACAGGCGATAACCTGTTTCAATCATTTATTTCCATCTCCTCAATGGTTAACTTCCTCTGGGGAAGAAAATTCCTGCAGATGGCGGTTGTTGCCGAGGCCTCGTTTGCATTACCAGTCGATCCAGTGACTCGCCTGAACACTATGGTGCGTTCCTTTTTGTTATTGCGATGGTCTGCAGTCAGCAGATGTTGGGTGTGGCTGCGGGCTTTTGACGGTGGGTCGAGTGTCCCGAGGAACCCGCCGCCGCCGCAAAAACCGCGGCGCTGCTGACGCCAGCGAGTCACCGGCAGAGCCGGTCCACGCTCGCCCGCCCGCGTCCCGTCTTGATCACACAAACCTCCCCGGTTTACGCTGCGCATCCTTTGATTTGTTTGGTTGCTGAATCGGGTGTAGCGTTTTGTTTGGGATTGTGCGTTTGCCAAATGGCGAGGCGGCCTGCGCTGCAGTGAGTCATTGGCGATAAGGTCTGATATCTGGGAACGGAAAACACAACGTGTTCTAGCTTCCCTTTGGAGTCTTTTTTTTTTTTTTTCCCTTTTTTTTAAAAGCATAACCACCAACGCGGCTACGGAAAGCGCTTACGTTCGGATTCCTCAGTGATGACTTATGGATTTTATTCAATCTTTTATTGCGTATCCTTTTGGTTTCTCAGCTTGGCCCAGTCGATTTTCTTTTTTCTGGCTTTTAAGATGTTCTACTTCACTAATACACTTTATTAGACCTCGAAGGCCGGCGTGTTAGTTGGAGACTGCTGCTGAGTTTGTTGGGTCTCCTGGTTCTGTGCCGGTATCCTGCCTCAAAAGGTAAAACGCTCAGCCAGCTATTAGTTATTAGGGAGACGGAGGGTGAGGAGGGGGGTTGAGACCATGAATGCAGTGAAATAATAAAGTGGTTAGCTCACTCCGAAAGCAACAGATTCAAATAATACTCTCCCTATATGAAGAACTAACATTGTATATTCCCCTGTTCTTTATTCTTGGACATGATCATCTCTCTGCTCCGGGCCTCTCTTTGGTTCACAGGAGTGTCACCTTTCACAATAAGCTCGGCCACGGGGGGGGGGGGGGGGTGAAAGGAGACTTGCTTTTGACTCGTTAATCATTTCGCAAGAACGATGAGGACATCGTCAAGACCGTTGGCGTCACTGGTATTTAAACTGAGAGTACCAGCGAAAGAGAAAATCGCCGGTTCTTCTTTTCACTAATGGCTCCGTTAGCTCGGGCTCCCAAACTCCCCCCAGTTTCCACGGATACCGCGAAGCGGTAGCCCTGGTTCCCCTGTGCATGTGTATTGCTTCGCCCGTATGCATGTGTATATGTTTTGCATTGAGACCATGTTTGTCTCGTCCACGTCAGCCTGGTATTTACATGGCTGGGATCAGGCTTTGCATAGTGATAGGTTCCTCCGTTTAGCCCCCCCCCCGATGAAGGGCCTCTGCCGCTCGCCTTATACAGTATGTAGTCAGGCTGAAAGATGGAATTGTTTTTGTTTCTACATGTTTTGTCTTTCCGGCTGAACAGCGAGTGGAAAACTTTGAAGGCCTCGGCGGCGGGTTTTCTTTTTCCCCAAACATCTTTTGATTTGGATCGGTGTCAACCAGCGGAGATTCGGTAGCTTTGTTTTCCCTTCGTGGGGTAGAAAAGTGGACAAAGAGACAAACCTCACTAACAGATGAAGGGAGTTCCGGGCCTGTTGACCTGAGCCACTTTGTGTGTTGTTTGTGTAAACAAACCGAAGCCACAGAGTTCCTGCTGCAGCTGAACCACTGGAAGAGATTCTGTGACTTCTTGATAAGAGTACATGTCCGAAGACAGAGACTTTGTGATAGTTGACGGCTGTAAAGGTCAGGCCATCAGGCTTTTATTTCAGCACCATAGCAGTGTTTTAGCTAGAGTCACAGCCGTGGTATTGAAATGTTTTGTGTTTCCCGAGCATATCTCCAATCCAGAAGCCACCTCCAGTGGCTAAAGCGACACTGACTCTGTGTTCCTGTCCTGCTGTTTTTTCAGATTGTGCCGTGAACGTTCACAAGAACTGCAAGTCTCTGCTTGGGGAGTGCACCAGCAGCAGGAATAAGGTAAACACGACACCGCGGCGTAGAAAAACAGGAACCCCGGCTGTAATCAAGTCTCGCTAGTTCGCTGGAGCCGACCCGTCAAAATAAAAGTGAAACCAAACGTTGCCCACAGCAGACATTAAGTCTTACTTTCATGGTCCTTTAATTTATGACTGCCACAGTTTTTTGCGCCACCAAATAAACACTGTTTGCTGGATTTTTCATCTGTCTTCAGCTTAGTAAACAGACTGTTATCTTGTGTTGTTTTCAGCTCCTTCTCTGACTGACTTTTATTGTAATATAATATACCCATTTTTCCCATGACGTTGTTTGACCTAATATTCTTTTTAGTTTTTTTTCATGATATTTTGCACTTTTTTCTAAATTCCTCATTTACCTCCACAGAGAGATTCTTCGCACCAATCAGGATCTCTGAATCGTGGTAAGCAGAACGTGCAGATGTGCACCGTGTACATCTGGCTCACCACCGTATCGATTGAAGTAATGAAACTGATGGAGAGCGGTGTGGTTCCCATGTTGCATATTAAAAAGCAGGAGTCCACTGTGGTGGTTTGCAGAGGATGGAAAAAAAAGAACTCTCATGACATCTGTAGATGGACTTGCCCTCTTTCTTTCTCCTAACTGTGTGGGTCTCTTGTCTGTGTGTCTGCCTACACGCTGAGTGCAAAGGGGGTGATAGGCCTCCAGCAGATTGCAGCTAAAGGTGATGATTGGCCATTGTTGACAAAAAGCCAGGAACTTTACCTCTGGTTCAATTATTGTCTAAACCCAAGATAGATTTTGTTATTTTGTACAAATTCCCCACAGTAGATTGATTTTTTTTTTTTTATACAGTGCCGCTCAAGTTATGGATCTTTGTGTCGGATCCATCCTGACAATTTTTCTTCTTTCTTGTACTTAATAAACGATCAGATTGAAGGTAATCTGACTTGTTAAATGTGCAATGTGCTCTCATTCATTATCGTTAAGTGGTCCGTCGATTGTAACATTCAGCAGGCCCTGCTGCATGCGATTGAACCCGCCGGAGACGTGTGCGGCTGCGGCAGCTGCTAAAGTTAATCTCCTGTCGCGGTTGTTGTTCTACTCCGAGCAGCTGGAGTCCGGTCGGCCTCCACCGATTTCTCCTCTTGTTCTGCTTGGGTCAATCAGTGGCTCGTGCAGGGTGTCGGGGAGAGAGGAATCGAGGGGGGGTGTGAAGTCAGAAATTTCGACAACAAGAGTGAGAAATGAGTCACTAAGGGTCTGGGCGGGTGGCATATATAAAGATAAACCAGGGATGAGGCATCCTTCTGCTTCTCCTAGGTTACACCAGTAAAGGCACATCACTTATTGCGTTTGCAATAATACCTGCTACCGATTATTGATTCTCACCTTGGAGTTGTAGCAGAGCTTAGTTTGTTCCCAATGGAGCTGGCAGCAGTTAGCAAAGCCACTACGCGAACCACGGGGGCCTCCAAACGTTGCTCCAGGACGGCCAAGCTCTCCTCATCGTGGGGTCTGTCCAGACATGTTGGTGTTCGGGTGTTGCTGCACCGCGACCTGACCACCTGCCGATTCCTCCGATCCCTGCCTGGATCATGGCTCAAAAAATACTGGGGTCGCCTGGGAAAGAAGTCAAACAAACAGCCGCCCACCTCAACGTCCTCTTCTCCCCCTCGTCCGACGTCTCGCTCTCTCCCCTCAATCTGTGTCCCCGTGTCTCCTTCCTCGGGATCCTCTCGTTTTCTCCTTTCACCCGCGTCTCCGTGTTTTTCCTCGCCAGCGTTAAAGGACCGGGAGCGGGAGCATTCGGGGCAAGCCTCATCGCAGCCGCTGGATGGCCACCCAGGATTTCATAGCACCCCAGGCATGACCGTTAGTTTGTGGGGACCAAGCAGCCAAAGCGCCACCGCAGCCTCCGTCCTCGGTCACAGCCTCCGTCACCACAACAGCTCAGGGTGAGTATTTCTGTCTACTTTATCACACCTCCACCGGACGTGGAGATTGTCTGATTAGTGCAGAAACATTTTTTTACATTTCTGTCTTTCATTGTAATCGTAAGAAAAAAAAACACGATTGTTCTGTAATGACAGGATTTATTTATATATATATATATTAATTCATCTGAAATCGAGAGCACCAGTCAGAAACGTTCTCATTGAATAAGAACAATGTGTCCAAACATTTGACTGGTCCTTGATAAATTTGTCAATATTTACAACGCCTGCTGTATGTTAATGCTGGATATTTTTATATTCTTTGATGCTGAAATACTATTTCCTCTGTACCATCATGAGATGCGTATTTATAGTTGACCAATCAAGGAGAGTTCTTTTTTTTTTTTTATATATATAGAAAGACAATGTGAGACGGGAAGGCGGTGTGGGAGAGCGAGTTGGAGGCAATGGGAAGTTGTAAACAAGAGCAGAATACAGCAAATGTTAGATGGGAAATAAGTAGAGAGGAAAGACTGAAAAATGTAGCTCCCTGTGTTGTTGTTGTTGTTTTTGTGGTTAATTAAATGAAATAAAAGTCACTGTTAGGCACTAGCGCAAGCTCCTGGGATTATTTTGTTTTGGTGTCAGCATGTATGCCACCTTGGACTTGTGGTTGTCGTTCCTCAGATTCCTCCCCGGGGAGATGGATGAGACGGATGCTGTCCGCCCCAAACGCTGCAACGAAGACGCCATCTCCCTCGCTCCCTCCACCACCGAGTCCATCATCGTTGAAGGTGGGTGGACTCTCCGGGGGTGGGGTTGAGCCTCCGCTTCTCCACCCTTGGTTGTGACCGCAGGCTCAGCTGCAGAGTTGAAGCTTGTCCAAAGGGAGCTTTCTTAAATCCTGGGGAGGACGATGTGTTAGTGTGTTTTGTGGAGTCAGGCTTGACCTTCGCCTGTCTCATTAAGTCCTAGTGTGTGGGAGAGGAACACGGGCTAAGTGGGCACTAGTTTACTACAAACAAAGCGCTACCGCAGCGTACTACGCCAGTACTCGCTGGGGAGCATGTGAATTATTCTTATGTAAATTACTACTGAAGAATAATAATAACGAGGCAACGGCCCTTATCCCGAGGACAAATTGTGTTATTGGATCACAATTAGATCATTCATGTTTTTACCATGTATAATTTTCAAGACAAGACGTGGCAGCGCAACAGTGAACATTTCATGTGATGATTCACAGCTGGTAAAGGGAGAGCTATTTATAAGAGCATCATCTCTTGAATACCATTGTCATTACATTACATGTCATTTAGCTGCTCAGAACAAGAAACAAGATTGTTCACATACGAATGCTAGAAAACATAGGAAATTAAAGTCCTCAATATTAAGGACATGTTGCTTTTGTCTTTTAAAGAAAATAAGACTTGTTAAATCCACACTGTTTTCCTCCAGGGCTGCTGTCTCTCATTCTCTAACCTCTTCTGTCTTAAGTTAAGACCCTGACCTAAACATGGACCCCCCCCAACTTAACGCCAAACTCCTCTGTAAAATAATACTGAAAGTTGTTATATTTTAATCCCCACACTCGTCTTCTCAGATGCTCACTATGCAGCAGTGCGGGCCGATCTGGAGTCCGATGCCCAGGACCTGGAGGTAGAATCATGGAGTTTGGCGGTTGACCAGCAGTACGTTAAGAAGCACTCTAAAGAAACAGTGAAGCGACAGGATGTGATTTATGGTGAGTGGGATTGTTAGGTTGCGTTTACACCGATTGGGTAGACGCAAAATTCTAAATACAACTTTTGCACATATTCAGTCACACTCCATAAGACGGTGGAGTGGTTCTTAAGTTCTGGGACTGATCGGAAGCATGGAATAAAATAATTTAAGGCAAGGCTTTGATGGCATGAAGCACCTGTTTTGAACCAGGTCATATCATTGCAATGCATTGTAATGTGTGTGTGTGTGTGTGTGTGTGTGTGTGTGTTCACATGGCAGAATATAATGGTGTTACCTCATGTCCTCACACAGAGCTCATGCAGACGGAGATGCACCATGTGCGAACTCTGAAGATAATGCTGCGCGTGTATGTCCAAGAGTTGAAGGACAAGCTCCAGATGGACGCTGGCAAGCTGGACTGTCTGTTCCCCCAGTTGGAAAACCTCCTCGAGCTTCACACACATTTCCTGTCTCGTCTCAAAGAGAGGCAGCGGGAAAACTTTGTTTCGCCCAACGACAGGAACTACGCCATCAACAGACTGGCGGACATTCTGATTTCTCAGGTAGGGAGGCGATACGCGGGCACGGGCCTGTCGTGCTTTCGTCACATGACAGAGTTGTAGACCGCATAGAACATGTGCCGCATGGGTCCGCGCACCAATTGCCCAAACCGAACGGTGGTTTCCTTTTGTTCTCCAGTTCTCCGGGGAGATCGGAGAAAGGATGAAAGAGAGCTATGGGGATTTCTGCAGTCACCACACCGAGGCTGTCAGCTATTACAAAGAACAGCTGCACAACAACAAAAAATTCCAGAACCTCATACGGGTAAGGAGAATTAGCCTCACGTTTTTTGTGATGTCCGATTGAATCCACTGCTCGTCTGTAGCCGAGTGCAACGTTATATCAAATTGCCCCCGTTTCCGCCTCAGAAAATCAACAACCTCTCCATTGTGCGGAGGTTAGGAGTGAGCGAGTGTATTCTGTTGGTGACGCAGCGCATCACCAAGTACCCCGTACTAGTGGAGCGCATTCTGCACAACACTGAAGGTCCAGTATTCCCCATTTGTGTTAATAAATAAATAAATGCCCATTGAGGAGAGTAAAACCACAGATTTACTGAGTAGTAACTTAACGCGTTGTTGTTTTCTCTCTCTAGCGGGGACAGACGAGCATGAGGACCTGACTCGGGCACTGGGTCTGATTAAAGACACCATCGTTCAGGTTGACACGCTGGTTAATCTCCACGAGAAGAACTCTCGACTCCGGGACATAAACATCAAGATGGAGCCAAAGGCACAGGGAAAGATCAAAGATGGCCGAGTGTTTCGCAGAGAGGACTTGGCACAGGGCAGGAGACGTTTGCTGCACGAGGGCACCGTCAACTGGAAAGCTGCTTCTGGCAGGCTCAAAGGTATCATATGGCCTGGTCAAACCACTAATCTAAAATATACACGCTAGGTACAATTTTGTCCGTTTTGAAGAGTTTTGAAATTGATCTTGTAATCTTGTCCTTCCAGATATTCTTGCGGTGCTCCTGTCAGATGTGTTGCTCCTGCTGCAAGAGAAGGATCAGAGATATGTATTCGCTGCAGTGGTGAGGGATTTATCAGTGTGCGGTAACAAGTGGGAGCAGGATTGAATCAATAATACTCTCTAATATTATAAATTCAAATTGTATTATATCAAGTACCGTTAACCAAAAACCTTTCTTTCCCTTTACCTGTCCGTTCAGGATAACAAGCCATCGGTGATCTCCCTTCAGAAACTGATTGTCAGGGAAGTGGCCCATGAGGAGAAAGCCATGTTTCTCATCTGCGCCTCCTCCAATGAGCCAGAGATGTACGAGATCCACACCGCCGGCAAGGAGGAGCGGAACACCTGGATGACACACATACGGCAAGCTGTTGAGAGGTAGCTCATAGAGAAGAAACACGCAACCGTTTGTTACTGTTATTTTACATTCTGTGAACATCCCTAAATGCATCAGAAATGTGATGGAACTGTACCTCTCCACATCTGTAATGTCTTTGGTCCTGTCCCGTCTTAGCTGTCCTCATACAGAGGAGAGGCTGTTCAGTGAGGAGGAAGAGGCACGAGCTTCCAGGTTCAAAGAGTTTCAAGGTAACTGCAGTTTAAGTGAGTAATGACTAAATAATGTTTCATAAAAACCCTCTGGAAAATCCTGTAGTTGACGTAAGAGGCCACAAGGAGGTGCTCACGCATCGTATTAACATACAATTGTTAGAAGTTGTCTTCACATTTTCTACAAATCTCATCTCAGCAAGAGTTATTTAGGACGACAAAAACTTCCCAAATGCTCGGTGAGATTTGGGTGTCGTAAAAAATAAGGGTTGTTTTACAAGTGCAGGAGTGAGCATGTGACAACGCCGCCGCGGTTTCTTTGTCCGTTGTCCGATTTAACTCCTCTCCCCGTCTACTTCACCCATTCATTTGTCCTTGTAGAGCGGCTGAGCCAGAAGGATGCCGTGGTCGTCCAGGCTCTCACTGAGAAGCTGCAGCTGTTTGCCGACATGGCAGCGTCTGTGGCCGGTCTAGAGGACACAGCTTCTCGTTCCAGACTGCTGCTTCGAGGGGACGCCTCAGACCTCCAGCAGGGAGAGGCTCTGCTCAAAGGAGCTCTCACTGAGGGTAGGATGACGCCGCATAATGTGTATATGTGTGTGTGTGTGTGTGTGTGTTTGTGTCTAAATGTTCCATCTCTTCCACTTCAGTGGAGAACCTCCAGAACCTGCTGCAGTCCGGAGTGAGGGAGGACTCCCCAACCTCTCGGCTGGACGAGGGCAGCGGTTCCGGGCTCCTGCCCAGGCGAGCAGATACCTTCGGCGGCTACGACAGCAGCCCCGCCATCATCAGCAAGAGTGAGTGCAGCACTATCGGTGCCCCGAGGAAGTCCATCTAATGGAATTGCGGATGCATTTCGGCGGCTTTTATGTCATTAATAAAAGATGAATTGTCAACAAATGTCATTTCTTGATCTGTTTTTATTGGTCAAACTCATGTGTTTGCGAGTGGCACTATATCTGTTTTGCCTCGTGTGTGTTGGTCACCGTGTGCCTTCTCCTTGTGCGTCGGTGTCTGTGCCAGATGGCAGCGTGAAGAAGAAGTTTTCTGCCGAGACCAGAAGCCGAGATCGAAGCCAGAGAGCCAGCTCTGACCCGCAGCTCAAAGACCTGTGTGGCAGCCACGCCCTGGAGCAGACGGTAGGCGCTCGACACGCACACAAGACAAACCGCACATCTCGGGGATGAGTCACAGCGTTGTTTCCTGTAAATAGTAATGACCAGACCGAGTCCTCTGGAAAGATCCCACGTGATGTTTACTGTAAGCCTGCTCTCGCAGGTCACTACATTTGTTATAAATAGATAAACGACTGGACAAAACAAGGAGCAGGATGTTGGGCAATACGGCATTTAACGACACAAAGAGTTTTTCTCTCTGTCTCTGTTGTGATTACAACTGTACGCTGTGAAAAGGTTCATACCACATTGCCCAATTTGTGGTCCTATGAAAGTCACTAAAATAGATTTGTCCTTATTTTTTTATATTCCAGCTATCCTCAACTGTCTCCTCTCCGTTTCGCTCTAAGGAACACACAAAATTGCCCTCGTTGAATGGCTCACAAATATTTGATCAATTCTTAATATCTTGCACTGCTAATCTATAACATCAATTTCGTAGAAACTGGTTTACAAACATGATTTGTCATAGTAATTGTTTTCTTTTTTATCATAGTTGCTAATAATGAATAAATACAAAAAATGCTTCTTAGTGTTTTTAAATTGCATTTAAAAATGTTCTCCATCTTTTTTTTTTTCCCATGTATTACTGTAAATTCTCCTGTATACACCCCTTAAAGTGCTTGGGCTGTTTTTCTGACCTGCTGTGTTGCTGTTGCTCAGGTTGATGAGAGCTGCTGCTCTCCTGCCAGATGGAACCGCATCTGGTCCAACTCCTTCCCCGAGGCCGAGGTGAGCTCTCCTTCTCTGATCCGTCACCTTGAGCTTTACGCTCACAGCCATGCCTTCTGAACTTCAAAGATGATGATAAGTTGGCACGTTACAAATGCTGAGTAGCTTTGTCGATTCTGGTAGTTCTTTGGTTGTGAGAAGCTTTCCTTTTGTCTCTTTTCTAGTTCTTTGACAGAGTGCTGATGCTCTCCCAAAGGCTCTATAGTCTGCAGGTAACACCGCCCCGTCTACTGTTAATGATGTGAATAAATGCAGTCAGTAGCATGCATGAATTGAAATTTGGCATATCGGTATGTTTGCAGAGAAACTTTTTTTTGTCATAATTTAGCATTTGTTTGCAGTTTGTCTCACTTCAACTCGATAACTTTGAATGGTGCTGAATGTCGGCTCCACCGTATAGCATGTAAACATAGTCGGTGTTGTCTCTGGCGTCAGGCCATCGTTTCGCAGCAGGACAGCCACATCGAGCTGCAGCGGGCCTCGTTGACGGAGCGGGCCGCCCTGCCCGGCCGCCACAGAGGGAACGTGCTCCTGGAGCAGGAGAAGCAGCGCACTCTGGCCCTGCAGAGGGAGGAGCTGGCCAGCTTCCACAAGCTGCAGGCTCAGCACCGGCAGGAGCAGCATCGCTGGGAGAGGGAGAGGGAGAGACACCGGCAACAAGTGGAGGCCACCGAGGCCCGACTCCGACAACGGGAGGAGGAGTGCAGGCGGCTGGAGGTGAAGTGCTCTGTCACACCGGGCGGAATCCCACTGCGTTGTATTTAGGTTTAGAGTTTCATAGATTTATACTGTTCATATAGCATTCCATTTTGTTTGACTCAAATACAAATAGCTTCAAGAAAAATTCCCAACAAAACAAAAAAAGCGATTAAGAAAAATACTACATGATGTATTTCGATAATGACGATATTCCACACAAACGAACACCGCTTGCTCTATTGATGCAGGAGCATCTCGCAGAAGAGAGGAGGGAGCTGGAGAGTCAGAGGGAGACGTACCAGCAGGACCTGGAGAGGCTGAGAGAGTCCACCAAAGCTGTGGAGAAAGAAAAGGAACGCCTGGAACACCAGAAGATCAAGAGGAAGACTATTGAGGTGGGAAGCATGTTGCAGAGCTGGAAAGTGTCTCCGTACGATAAAAGTCAAGCTAACTAGCTATTGCTAGCAGGGTTTTTTAAAAAGAGAATGTTCTGATTTTTGACAAGTGTTTGTATGGATGTGTTCACGTTCATTTCTCAGTGTTCAGTCAGCATATTAGCAGCCACACACACACATGAAAACTTGAAAGCTACTATGTGAATCGTAGATACCGGAGCATAGTTTTCAGTGAAGCCGGGTATCGCCGCCTGTTTCCTTAGTTGTTTAGTTTGGCAGCTTATAAATCCTTGTTTCTGGGTTTTTACGTCAACACCCGGCAGCTTTTACGCGTTATTCTCTTGCTGGCAGATAAAAATGACGCGGAGGCACCATCACACACAAAAACCGTTGACAGAAAGTGATTAATTACTTTTTCCTCCTTGTGCTCTGCCTCTATAATTACTTTCATTAACAAACCTGAAATTGTAGGTCATAAAAAACGATGTCACTGCACCGTTTAAGTTGTGTGGAAGAAAGTGTGGATTGAGGCTGACGGTGTTTTGCTGGGTCACTTTGAGGGGACGAGGTAGAATAGAGAGCTGTGCTGCTGGGGACGCTTACTCACAGGATGAAGAAGAACGACACGCGACGTTAAGAAGAGGCTTTCCCCTCATTCCCAGTTTCCTCGCATCATTTTTTCTCCTTCCATTCCGTGGGCATGCAGCCTGTACCCACACATTCAAGGGGGAACTGGTTTCAGCTTCCACAGCCTGATTGGTGGATGGATGAATAATGAACACATGAGAATGAACCTCCTCGTGCTATCCTAGAACGACAGGGCTCATTGTTGGACGTTTCGTGGGAGGGAAGATCCACTGGCTGTAATATAATGCCCGGCGCTAATAGATCCATCAGTTATGCTACTTAACATCAACCTTTAGTGTTTTCAAAGGCACTTTAAGTGATTTACTAAAGGGTTACTGAAGTGGAAAGTTTTATTCAAATGGTGGCAGTTCTTCTCTACCTAAATCAGCCAGCTTTTTATTTTTTATCTTTTCACTTCAGTTTTTGTCAACTAATCCAGCAAATGAAAGACCTGAAATATATAAAATAACATACAATTTCAGTTTTTCAAGTTTTTTAGTAAGAAATACAAAAGGGGGCAATAAAACCATTTATTTTAGCCTATTTAAAAATCATGAGAACACAATAACTTATTTAAAGTAAAAACAACCACAGACTTTGTCTAAGGCAACATTAATTAATAAACATTAATGTATGTCTCTTTGTCATGAAAACAACTGACAACTACCCAGCTACAGTCTGGTATTATTTTTAGACAAAATCCTTCCATGTCATTTAGCTGACGCGTTTATCCAAACCGACTTACAATAAGTGCGTTTCAACCATAAGGATACAAACTCGGAAGAACAACAAACAATAGTGTAATTTCATCAAACAAGCTGATTGACAGCTTGCAATAGATAAGAGCCATTATTAATACATATTGAGTGCTACAATTTGTTTGTCTTTTTAGTCGAGGTAGAGTCTGAAGAGGTGTGTCTTTAGTTTGCGGAGGAAGATGTGAAGGCTCTGTGATCATATAAACTTTCTTGTTAAAAGTCTTCTTATCTGGTAGATTGTCACCTGTTGTAAATTGCACATCAAGTCTCTTAACACTTGAGTCTCGGTCCCTTTAATAATAATTAAACTGTCCTGCATCATGTACACTATGAGTCCATGTAAAACACGCCCAATGATCAGATCAATGACTCATTAAAGGAAGCCGGAACCTTTCAGCTGGATGAGTCAGCGTGTTCTTCACAATCTCGCCTCGCGCCCTCTGTACAGACTCGCTGTACCAGCTGCATAGGCCTTTTTCCTGGAAGTCGGACCGATCACCAGAGGACATCTCGTGATCGCCGTAGCCGTTTCTCTAACTGCAGCGCGTCTCCTGTAATGTGACTAGTCCCTGTCTGCTGTGTGACATTCCTACCTGCCCAACGTCTCGTCATCCTGCATGCCAGGCGCCGTAACTGAGGGATGAAACAATGGCAGGCGATTTCAAGTCCTCGCTTGAATCCTCTGCCAGCCAACACACACACAAAAAAAAAAGTTATTGGTTTACTGTAGCGTTGCATCCTCAGACATCTGACCGCCCATCAACCTTCCAAAGGATGTCGTGGTAACAAATAATTTCAATGACATGTCTGACCTCAAGACGTACACAAGCAACTGACATGATTTATTGCACTTGTTATCTCAGAAGGCGACTGAGTCGTACCGAGAACACGAAGTAACTCCCGAGAAACCAAAGCCGGCGGCTGAGTTGACCTCATGTGCTGCACTGAGCAATGCAGGGACCGCGGTAATTACAGAAGCCTTCACCGGAACAGTGATCGTAAGGGAGATTGTTGTGTGGTTTGTTTGTTTGTTACATGGACTGGAAGATAAGAGCCCAAGCATATCAGATCCGGCCCATATCGGGCCGGCATCACAGTAAGTCACCTCGTGATGTTTGTTACAGCCAAGTAGTACGTTTTGCACACATGCTCATGTATGGGTTGCATACTGTTGCCCAAGTGCTATTGGAATTTCTTGGCTGCGGTCATGGGAGATTTTGGAAGGGTGGTTGCGTCAAACACATCAAACACACTCTTCATCGGCCGTGACCTCAGGATTTGTTCCAGGCTTCGGGCCAGCCTGATATCAACAGACATTTAATCACCACCGCCACCTGACATTAAGACGCATCAGAAAACCAGGAGGGCTATGATTAGGCCTCATAAAAAAAAAAGGTGTGTGTGTGTTTGGGGACATAAACGAGTGTTTGTGTAAGACTGGTGCAAGTGGCGGCATGTCCTGACTTTAGAGGAACTTCTCTTTCATGTGTTATCTCATATGATCACAGTTGTCAAGGAATGAGTTATGATCTGGCTTTTTTATTTTTATTTCATGGTATCTGTTGCCATAGAGCCTCGTGTCTGATTGCTCTACAGTCCTTATGAATGCAAAGTCATGAAGTGTGTTAATAGTTGAGGATATAGATGAAGTCGGCCATTGAATGCTAGTAAAAAAAGAAGAAAAGGCCAGACGTTCTTTATGGGGAAATTAATAAACATTTAAACTTATAAATTCCTTTGGGCAAAGCACTCAATTTAGCTCCTGGTGGGAATAACCACATGACCACCAGTGTAAATTGGTAAAAACAAACAAAAGTAGAAAAGGTCAGCCGTGAAACCCGTGACCTCTATCCGTGTTTTTAACACCGAGTCAGCGCTTCCTCAGTTTGGCTGATTTACGATGCTGATGAGTGTGTTCCTGTGGTGTGAAAAGCCCCTGAAGAGTAACTCTGGTACACACACACACCTAGATTCCTGTGACTCAGCCTACTAAGTGCTTATAGAAGAACTAAGATAGAATCTGCGCTTGAGGGAAGGTATTTTCTCTTCACGCCATCTGCCAAGCAAGCTATCCTTGCCACACACTGTATGCGATGCTGCTACAGAAATCTTATTAAACGACACATAGAGCTGTGCATCTCGTATGGTTCCGGTCGTAAATTCTTCAGATGTGCTTAATGTGTAACAATTGCTGTGATCATTGACGAATCACGTGGATCATCACTGCTCCTCATCGTCTCTGCTTACATGTATCATAGCAATCACTTGGACATCGTTTTGATTTGGAATTAAACCAATTTAAGGGGAACATTTTTGCTGCTTGCACCCATTCACCACCGACCGGAGCTGCACACATACAAGTACTCAAGTCGGTATCCCCCCCGACGTTATCGTGCCACGTAGTATCGGGTGCAGGTGAGATCCAGAGTCTTTGTCCCGCCGCTGTGACGTTGTTCACGGATTCTGCAGCTCGCGTTTTGCGAGTATCCAGGCAGTTTTCGGATTGAGGGAAACTGGGCTGTATGATTAGCCAGTCCGAGCCCGTCATCGACAGGAGCCTCTGGACGGCAGCCAGTGCTAATTGTTAATCCGCCTGTCAGTCTTGGCTTGTTGTGCTCTGCGGCTTCCGCACAGTTCACTGACCTGGAAACCTGCCGCTGAGAGAGCCGGCCACCTTGTTGTGGGAACAATGCAACATCTGTGTGTCAAGACGAGTGAGGGGGAAAATGATGCAGGGGAAGAAGAAAAGGTGCTTTTTGGGGAGGAGTCTTTTCCCACCGCTGGGCCCGCCTCTCTTTGCCTCGGCTCCTGTCATGCTCCGCTGCTACACACACAAGTCTGCCTTTCATAGCCCTGTGGAATACTGTCCTCATGCGTTGACAATGTCCACTTTGTCCGGCATCTTCATCAATCATGTAGCACGTGTCCTGCATACCAAACGGAAGAGTGACGGACTTCTGCCAGACTTAAACGCGCTGGTAGTGCATGTTATCGGCAGGTCTTTATTTTTATATCCCAGATCAAGTTACGTTGTGTCGTTAGCTCTCTGATCCCGAGCCTCCTGCTCCTGCTGTTGGGCTCAGCATTATGGGCCGGGCCCCCAGCAGCTCGGTGTCTTTGTGGGCTCCCGGTGGCGAGGTGAGGAGGAGGAGGAGGAGGAGGAGGAGGAGGTGAAGCCCCTCTGACTGCAGTCGGCCGGCAGCTCCGAGCCGAAGGAGTCTCATTACGTCGGAATCTGACACTGTGGCGCTAATGTAAAGCATTCGGAAAAGCTTTATAGAAATAGCCACTGTTTTATTTATGTAGGTTATAGAGAAGTATCAAGTTTCAGAACCAGTTAAAAATCCTTCAGTTAATACAAACATACATACTAGTTAATCAACTAGCAATTTACCATTAGTAACCACTATTTATTTGAAAAGATTCACATGTGATTCCCTATACTGAATGAATATGTATTATCCGTCCTGTCTTTTTAGTGGACACTTTTACATGTTGGAGGATTTCAAAAAGCTCTTTTCAGATGGGAACTCATGAACATACTTTAATCATCTTAATCTTGTAATAACTTCTTGCTAGCGTTGGTACGGTGGGAAAAACATGGTCTTTGAAAAGATTTCAATCAAGCAAACCAGAACACATAATGTATTATATCGTAAATGAATAGAGAATTGTTCTTGTTACCTTTTGTATTGACGTTTTGATTGATTGTGTGAAGCTCACGAAAGGTCAAAACGTTACAGACGGGCTTTAAACCGTCCGGCTAGAATAACACTGAAGACATGCGTATTATGCAACACGTGTGGTATTACCAACACAAACAAACAACCACGCTGCTCTATTGTAGCAGGAACCGGCCCGGTTAGTCTGCGTGAACGCAGATTACATGACAACAGTGAACCATCTCTGGACCTGTTTTCTCCTCAGTCTAGTAATTAAGTGGACAATGTGGTCAGCGTCTTCTACCCACTGATGTCATGAGTCGTTTTCTTGTTCCCCTTCTTGTCTAACAGCCTGTTTTGTTAGACACGCCTTTATGTGCACAGGGACTATTAAGGGTTTTATGTTTCTCGTGTGTGTGTGTGTGTGCGTGCGTGCATTGTCCTTGGGTCTCTTGGAACACATCAAAAGCCTTTTACCAAAGCGTGTGCTCAGCAGAAGCGGTTGCATGTGTTTCTGATTCCCTCTGTAGCCCGTGAATACTCTGCTACTCAGCAGATTGTGTTGGCGTAATGACCGCGTCGCACAGACAATTTATAGTGGGCATCTGTTTAGGCGCGTGTGTCTTCTGTGAAAGATTGCCTTCAGTTTTGTTTCTTTCTGCACACGTATTGGCTCATACATAACTAATAAACAGCATGCGCACACACACACACACACACACACACAGCATTCAAAGTGTGTGTTCCACAGCTCATGATTCCAAACCGCATATGACCACAATTCTGAATATTCCAGAGCAAAGTTGAGAGGCAGTTCCTTTAGAACTGAATATACCGACTATGTTACGTGACGACGTTTGCAACAATTAAAGGAGGCTTTAATCCGGCCTTCTCCTCCTCCTCCTCCTCCTCCTCCCAGGTGGCTTCTTTGTCTGACAGCCTGAACGGGGAGCTGCTCCTGTCCTCGGGCCTCAACACCTTCCCCAGCGTCTCCGACCTGCCCCTCCCTCAGAAGCCCCTGGTGCGGGCCAGCCTCTCGGTCGCACCGGCCGACTACCTGGAGCGCCCCAAGGTGATGTTGCGGCGGGAGGCCGGCTCCTCCACCCTGCCGGCGAAGGCGGTGCCGACTCATCTCTTGAGCACCACCAACCAGCAGCACAAGCTGGTGGGGGTGCAGCAGCAGATCCCCACCAAGTTGGCGGCCGGCGGCGGCAAAGGAAAGGGGGGCAAGATCGGCAAAGCCTCGCATCGCACCGACAGCACTGGTGAGACGGAGTTTGACGGGACGAGCTGCAACTAGCGCCGCTCCTCCTCCACCTGGCTTCGGGCTCCACCCGTGTTTCTTTCTCACTTCATGTATTAACTTCTCCCGGTGATGATCAACAGTAACTGAAGTGCACATACGTCTGTACACGTGAGTGTGATTGATAAACGGTAATGAACACCGTCAGAGGTTGGAATTCCACGTCGGAAATGAGCATAATGCATTTTTTGATTAATCTGTTTTACTTTGTCATTTTGTACAGTCGGCAAAATCCATTTAATTCACTTCAGCTTAAGAGTGACTTCGTAAACGTCCAAAACTCATTCATGTTACATTTACTGCAATGTAGGAGAGAGAAACCAGCAAAGTATCACATTTGAAAAGCTGGAATTATTCAAGTCAAGTTTTTATGCAAATGCAACCAAAATGATTCACAGATTATTAGAATATTTTCCGATTATTTTTCTGTTTACAAGACTTTATTATTATTTATTTTTACTTTCATATGTTTGCATGTATGGTAGTCTTGTAACTGATGTTTTTTAATATAATAAACATGTAAAGGATGATTGGGAGTGCATGACTTTCTAAAATATTTGGTGCATTGAGGTTTTCTCCTCTCGCAGGTGATCTGTAACGGTGATGCGCTTTGTCTTTTTAAAAAAAACATTTTCCTCGACATACAAGCCATCTGTCCCTGACATGAGCTTGACCCGATCAGCATGATTTAGGCGGCTGATTAGGATCACATTAGGAGTCTGGATTGGGTTAGCCATCTCCTTTTATCAAATAGCGGCTGAGAGAGGCTACGCTTTAGTTTACCGATGCAATTTAATTTTACAATTAAATCCCCTTTTTGTCTTTACTCACCCCCCCCCCCCCCCCTGCCCCTTCTAGCCTCAGTGGACATGAAACAGATGCTGCCTCTGAAGCTGTCTGCCCGAGATGACAACACCCTGAAGGCCAAGCGTTCCGTCAGCCCCCAGCAGCAGCTCTCGCTGTCGCCCCCCCCGCAGCCTCTTCCCCTGCATCATCACGCGGGTACCTTTTTTTTCTTTAAATAAGCACCAGCGCACAAAAAGCACTTCCCTCTTTGCTCCGTCCGGACAAAACCCGAACGCCGTCTCCTCTCGTCCGTCTTTGCCAAGCACGTTAATTCAATTTGCTTCTCACAGACACCGTCACGTGACACAATGACATTCTCCACCTGGGCCAGCCGGACCCCACCCCATCACGTTCCTCTCTTAAAGCTTGCATTCATGCCCGGGCCTCGCCCTGTGTAAACACCTATCAATTTCACAGGGCTCGCTGTGATTAATGGCGGGCTGTACTGCTGTCACAGCCATTTGATCGCTTTAATCCTGAGCCCTCACAATTACCAGTGACAAGAAACACTGGCAGGATTTCAGGTGCTTAAGCTCAGCTTTATTAAACAGGCACAAAGGATCAACGTGTTGGCCCCTTTTTAATGCCGTTTTCTGAGTAGTCCCTTGTTCTCTAATCGCCTCTCTTGTTTATCTGTCCCAGATCCACTCAGTCCTGCAGACCACGCCGGCCCAGACGCCCAGTCCCCTTCCTCCGTCAGCATCGCCCACCCTCAAAGTCTCCAGAAGCCTCCCATGCCTCCCGCGCAGTCCCATGCTCAGCCGCCCGCACAGCCGCCCCCCACCATCCCTCCCAACTCGCAGACCAGCGGCTGCCTCCACCTGCAGCCGCGGGGCCTCAGTCCGAACGCCCCGGCCCGCGTCCAGGTAAACGTTCACGGGCTCAGCCACAGCCACAGCATGCCGCCAGCGTACAAGACCGCCGCGGAAGATCTCAACAAGGAGGACGTCATCTTCTTCTAAAGTCCGGTCTGGTGAATGAAGAATGGGGGGGGGGGAGATAGTCGGTACCGTGTGTCCTGTGTGTTCTGAGGCGCCGCTGACACGGGACAGTGAGACGTTGGCGGTACGTTCAAACCCTGCAGGTGTTTCAGAGGGTTTATGAGGTAAAAATGTCTCTGTACTTTTCAGCACTCCGGTGGCCCATGAAGAAAGAAAAAACGCTTTGTTTTTAAGTTTCTATTTTAATACTGTGTTTTGTTTCTTTATTTAACTTTTGGTTTAGTTTCTTAACTCAAGAGGACAACAAGTACGAGGAGGAAACACTTGGCAAAAGAAATGTGTATAAAAAAAACGGTTTAAATTAAGTTACACCAATCCAAAGACATTAGAGCAGAACGGGATTTGGCTGAAAGAAGCGATGTAAAAGAAAAGCGGTCGGCTGATTCTTTTCTTTTTTTTTTTCTTTTACTGGAGACTGCGGTCAGCCTGGTTTTTATTACAAGGTGAAAGTGACGTGCGGCCTTCACCATCTGCTTCTACTGTACCAACAAGAAATGCTCCACCAGAAACTCCCAGTGCAGGAACACTTTCTGCTCGATGTTTCATTTGCACAGTGTAAATACTCAATTCCAGACTAATGAATGAACTTTTGCGGACAAATGTCTATTGTTTTGGTGTCGAAATAGCTGTTGTTGATTTCATTTGTCGTTCTTGTTCTTTCTTCACCATGCTTCTCACACATGGCGGACCTGTTGAATTTACTGCTCGTTGTTGCAGCTGTTTGTGAAGCCTGAAGCTGACTTCTTTCCCGCGCTGTTTAATTATGCATCATTTCAATGAAGGGAGACTTCGGTTTATGCCAAATTCTGCATTCTGAGACCGACAAGTACATACACGACATACATATTTTCCCCAACTCTGACACAATGATCCTGACTCCACATTCAATTGATTTTATTTAGTACCAACAGCCTCAGAGGGCTTTACGGTCTGTACACATACTTCTGCAGGCCAACATGGACGTGAAGTCCTTATTATGCAATTGATGACATCATAGCTGGTCAATGGAACAAACTCCATCTGCTAGTCAAGATCATGGGATTTAGTTGAAAGCCATTTAGTGGAGATGGAGTTGGGTTCATATTTAATAACCTTTTTTAAATCGCATTTATTTCAGACTCATGTGTCAATGAATTTCCAAAACATTCATCCGTCAGATCTCACATCACCCAAACCCAGAACACGTCTTTATGATTTCGCACTAGATGATCCAGTATAATTAAAACTGTTAATCACAACCCTAAACAGCTGAAGATACACAGACCATCCAGACAAAGGCAGCAAAGGCTTTTACTGTTTAATGTTTGATCTCTCCGTCTTCTGAAGTGGCTTCACTCGTTCTATCATTACACACTTGTCTGTCCTGTGATTCCTCCAGAGACTCTCTGGACAAATGTGGGCACAAAGCTCAAGCGAGTTAAAATGTGTGTGTGTGTGTGTGTGTGTGTGTGTGTGTTTGTGTGTTTTTGGTCGCTTTGAATCAAAACCCGGATGATCCATTGGCGGTATGTTGGATTGATTGCTGATGACATTTCACTATCTGGCTCTTAAATCTCTGCGGCTGACAGAACAGCAGAAAAACCACCGTCAGCTTTTCTTTAAAAAATGTCAGGCTATTTTTTTCCTCACAGATGAAATATGGACATGTCCATGTGATTGTCTTGTCTGTAGATACAAGAGACGCCCTTCAATCATAAAGTAGTTGACACAACAACGTGTTTTAGTGTCTCTGGAGGGGAAAAATGTCAGAAGAGCTTATTCTCTTTGTTCAATTAAGATGTGAAGCTGTGATGGAGTTTTATGTATATTATGTACATTGTTGTACATACTTAATTTTATCTTGCGCTCTGGCTTCCTTTATACACACTGTTGTTGCAGGTGGCATTTGACGTGCGTCCAGATGCAGAAGTCAGCCAAAGGTTTCTTTCTGCGTGTGTGCACGTAGAACACGGCGCGCGTGCTCGTGGCGGTCTAAAGAAGCCGCACTCGGCCGCAGGGCGCTGGGACCGATGACGAGGGCTTGTTTGTTTTAATCCCCTGATGTTTGTTGATGTTGTAGCATTTGAAGACGAGGTGCACCGGGCGACGTCTTTCTTCGGCAATTCATGAGTGATGTTTTACCAGTGATGTTCGTGTAGGAGTCTCACACGAAAGTCCCCGGCTTGTTGCAGTTGAGGAGACACTTTCCTTTCTGTGTCCTTTATATGAAGGATAAATAACTCTGCTGTCGGGTCAGAAGTGTTATTACCTATCAAACATCCTCCAGAGAGTGTCCACAGCCGGTGTGTTTACGGTACACTGCAGGCCTGCTCATATTCTGCTTCAGGTCTCATTTTCTGGCATCTGTTGTTGTTTTCTATCCTCTCGTGATCTGAATTCCCCGTAATAGAAAGCAGATCGTACGCAACCCAGGAACCCAGTGGGGTGTTGAAGGAGTTTTTTTTTTTTTTCATCATCAGGATATAAGCTCATCTGATACAGTTATCCTATTGAAACAATGTTAACGTGCTCGCTGGTCCGCGTTGGATGGAGACCTATAAAAACATAAATATTTTTCCAGACTTTGACACAAAGTCCTCAACTTTCATCCATAGACACGGTCTTCTTCAGCAAAGTTCAGGCAATTCTTAACCTCCTGGCCAACGTGGACGAGAAGTCTTAAAAGTGCTGTTGATGAAATCCTCGGTTTAGGTGACCAAACTCACACACCTGCTAATGGAGAGCACAGGGTTGAAAGCTCTGGGCGGCAGTTAAGAGGAGAACGACTTGGGGCTCTTTAGTCAAAATAATATTTTCAGGCTTAAAAATGACTTCAGGTTTGACTTGATGAAGACAGGTGTTTGTTTTTCCTGTAATTCCAAGTGTGTCTCCTTTTTACTTGTGAGAGTTATCAGGCAGTCGGGAGGTAAGAGCACAGTAAGAGGTTGACGCTGCCTTGTTTTGTGTCGCTGTTTACATCAACTCGAGTCTTAAATGTTCTTTTGCTCTACTGAAATGCTTAACCTCTTGGCTCAGTTTTAGAACGTCGAAGCCAATCAGTCACATCACTGTGTATGCGTGTTTGTCTACCTGCTTCTATTTGTGTGTGTGTGCGCGTGTGTGTGTTTGCGCTCTCCACCAAAAACACAGCGAAAACATTCCTAACCGATTTGTTTTTTTTCATACACACACTTGCATATTGGACTTGTAATGTGTAAATAATCATAAACATATTGTATTTCCTCAGCCAATTTTACACTAGTCACTTTGGATAGTAGCATACTTGAAGGGGGAAAGGGGGGATGTTTATAATGCTTATTATTGTCTGAGCTGTCTAATGACGTTCGTAGCACACAGCAGAACTGATTTTTGTACCGTTTTTATTTTATTCACTGCAAGACGTTAGGACGACCTGTGAACACAAACTGCTGCCTTAGAGAGTTTAGTAATACAAAAATAAAAAAAGTCTTGACATTATTGTTGTATTTGCTGTCTGTCTTTGTGAAATGCCACGCGACAATCCCGGCAAACCTGTTCAAGTAAATTCGTATTTACTGGAATTTGTTCTCCCACCCACCGCCCCAACAACTGCCACATGTAACCTATACTTCTGCCTCAATACATGGTTTTCTATTCACTGCTTGTCAAAATAATCCGGCCCACCCAATTAGATGGCAGCCGGCGTTATTGAGCCAGTGAGCAGACGACCTAATAACAGTCTGTTCCCAGACAAAGCTTTATTTCAGGTGCCGTGGTCTTTGCTCTTCAATCCCTCTGCAGACCTCGTAAGAGTTCCTGTGTTATTGTCCTTCTGGCTTTTTTCTTTTTTTTTGTCTGTGTCTGCTGTCATTAGTGGCTTTCCTCTGTCTCCTCGCAACAATTATTTTTCCGGGCTGCTTCCCCCTGTGCATTTTTTTTTAAATTATTTTTTTTACTCTTTGTTTCTGTTTCGTTCCCTTCACTCCTCTACTTCCATGGTTCCGATCCTTCTCAACTCGCAGCTCAAAGCCATTTTCATGTAACGCCGTTTGCAGGGAGTCTTGGAGTCTTGGCTCGTTGTTGTTCTGTGGCGGAGGCACTTTTCACCACAAAGTTAAACAAATAGACGCTCCGCAGAGGCCAGACGTGCAGACGAACCTCCCTGCAGGCTCGTAAAGCGCTGGGACTAATCCTGGTTTGATAGACTCCGTGTCAGCAGTTGGTTTGTGTTTGTGTTTGGCTCTTCCGTAAACAGCTCCTCTGCACTTTCCAAACCGGGTTTGGAGTGAGCCGTTGAGCTCACGTCGGCAGAGGAAAAGTCAAAACAGCTCTAAAGTCAGTGAGTTTCATCTTCTGGGATCCAAGAGTGTTTGAAGTTAATTTGAATGGCAATCCATCCAGTTGTCGTGGTCTATCAAATGATTGTTTCTGCTTTTACATTCCCGCCTCAAACCTTTTGCCGGGGGTCAGGACCTGTATATTGGGAACCGCCGTCACCTGCGATGTTGTTAAACCAGATGGCGTCCTGTTCAACCTCCTGCTCTCTACTTTAGAACTGATACCATGAAGGAATGTGCCTCATGGCTGCTTATCGGAGAGTTATTCGTCGCTCCTGGCTGACACAAAGATCGTCTTGTTCAAGAGACGCAGAGCGGAGTCTTTTCTCTCCTCCCTGCTGACACCCAAGGTGATCACGGGAAGATAACCGGCAGCCAAGGCCGCTGCTTCCACTCCTGCTTACATAAGCTGCTTGGCAGGCCGGCTGTGTTCTGGGGAAAAGATAGGATTCAAGGATAAATGAAGAGCAGAGGAACTCCGATTATTCCCCCCCCCAGGTTGTAGAGTGTGATAAGTAAACCTGGAGTGATGAAACGCTGCCTGCTTCGTAGCTTCGCATTGGATGAAGGAGAACCATTGTTCCTCCTGACTGCTCAAACTGATCTTCCGTCTTTGCATCAACAAAGGAAGTCCCTGTGCGGTGAAGGGGACGGGGGGGGGGGGGGTGGAGGTGAAACGGCCCCCTCAGAGAGCGGTTCTGCCAGGTAGAAGAGGGATGAGGGAGAGGGCCATTGTTCTGCTGGCAGGGACTCCTCAGGTGAACTGAAAGGTGGTGGTGGGGGGGAGTGTGCTCTCTGTGCCGACTCGGCTCTTTGTGCTCGGCGTATTTGCTGTAGCCTGGTGACTGTCTGGTCATTCCAGTTTTATTCCCACGCGCCAGGTAGTGATGAATGCCCCCATTGTGGCCCGTCGGCCGTAGCGACGAGTCACTTGATCACAAAGCGTCTGCTTAAAGGAATAGTTTCGGGCTTATTTGCTTCTTCTTTTTTTTTTTTTACCAAGCGAAGATGAGAAGATTGATCTTCTACTTTTACAGCAAATAACTATACTTCACAAAATGTTGAACTATTCCTTTGTGAAGCTCGTCAAAAAGTTAAGCTCGTCGACGTTGGTAAGTCCGCATCCAGCGCTTAAAGCGTTTTTCATCTGTACTTTTGGAATGCAGTAGGCCATTGTCGAGGTCTGCTGCAGTGTGGGAGGTCTCTATGGCATTTTCAGAGAAGTAGAAAGAACTCTTCTCCCCCTCCCGTGCACACACAAATGCACACTCTCTTTGCCAAGGCAAGTAGCCTCCTGGCAGCTACAGCACGGAAAAACCGTCTCCATGTCAGGATGAGAAGATTTGGGCAAATAAAGTAGCTCCGCTTCTTCCTGGAAAGAGCCAATAGGAGCTTTGTGTGCGAGTTTCTTAGCGTGGTCAAAGTCGCTGCTGAATGCCCATCTGGGAAACACGCGCAGCGCTTTTAGGAAAGTCGGAATAAGAAGTGGAACATACTGTCAGTAAATGGAACAAAAGGCCGACAGGAAACCCTTAAAACCAGCCAGCGATGTGAAGTGAATGTAAAGTGAGTAAAAGGCAGCTGCAGGGTCCCATTTTATCAGGTAAATCAGATACACTTTTTTGTTGATGGTGCACTTAAACCTTCCCGTATTATTTTGAAGAAGGATTTGTTGTGCCTGAGGTAGTGCACTTCGCTCCAGATCGTGCCTTTCAACATCGTCAAAAGCAGAGAGAAAAGTTTCTTTCTCTGTCTAAATAAGATGTTTTTCTGTGTCCTCTTTTAATATTTTCCTCGAGTGCTTGTACAAGAACCACCACAGCGCTCTCTGTCCCTGCTGTGCACAAAATGGACCAACCGGGGTGAGAATAACCGCATAGATCTTCCTCAGCACCTCCTTCTTTACTCCTTGGAAGAGTGGAGCCCAGCAGAGCTGCTCCACAGGGGGGATCTAAACACGGCCTCTCTGATTTAGTAGCTGCAACTGAGCTGTCGCCAGCCTCCCACCAGAGCTGGCACATCGGTGGTGGCTGTCTAGCCCACTGTTGATCGGGGATGGAGGGAGGGAGGGAGGGAGGCGGTGGGGGGTGGAGGGGTGGACACATTGAAAGACGCTGCCAAAGGAGCAAAAGGCCACTAACTGCTGCAAAAACCAAACACCGGAACGAGACAAAAGCTGCGCGGATGTTTGTGCCAGGGTGCCTAAAGAAAAAAACAAAACCTGAATTTAAAAAGTCCTTTTATTTAACTGCTCAAAGGTACTTCTGTACTACTTATAAAGACCATTTACTAGAGACAAAGACCAAGGAAAAAAACACTCTGAGACCCGGAACTCCAAAGTCACATTGAAGCGTAATATCTCCATACATATTTGATGACGGGCATCTCTCTCGGCTGAGTTTCCACCATCCTCCGGCAGGAAAAAAATGTAGAAAATCAAATGTAAAAAAAGTACTCATGAACTGAAAACCACAGGGCGGACTGTGGTGGAGCAGTCGTCCTTCAATCAGGATCGGCGGTTTGATCCCCGGCTCCATTAGTCCATGTCAGTGTGTCCACCCAGATTGCTCCTGCATGCCGCTCCTGCATGCAGCCCCTGATGGTCAGGTGTCACTTTTTGAGTAGAAAAGGGATGTAACAGTGCAGTGCATTTACCATTAACACCTACAAAAATAATCACAGCCCCTAAAGCGTGAATGAAAAACGTCGTCCTGTGTTGTTCAGTATTTTTACCAAAACTACATTAAAAACCATGGTTGACTTTTCAGATTCTGGAAAAAGTAACTTGATCTGTAAGAAGCGTTAAAGTGTTATAATTGCTCAAGTTGGAGCTCATTTTAAAAATCCCATTATACAAAGTACTAATAACTAAAATCAAGAAAGAAAAGTACAGTATGAATAAAGACTGCAGCCAAACTCAGCTGGGTGTGATGTTCTTTCGGAGGAGCGAGCGGCTCCGTGTGTGTGTGTGTGTGTGTGTGTGTCGCGTTGCCAAATTCAGAGCCCCACTGATTCACCCCGTGGCTTTATTTGCAGTAAAAAAGCCTTCAGTCATCTGCAGATGTTCTCATCCCCTTTTGAGGAAGAATCTTACGCAACAGAGGGGAAGCTGTGTGCCTGCCCAGTGTAATCACTCTCGGGGCGTGCACACACATGCACAACGTACTGCAAACACATCCACCAAAAACACACACGCTGCATTTTTTTTTTTTAAATCCGTGGGTCTTATTCCAGACCATTAACATGTCAACGATTTTTGGCCGAGTGTTAAAGCGCATTAAGTATGATAATGTGACACAAGCTGGTATGAAAGCGCTGCCATGTGCCATTACTCCAGCAAGAACCCGTTCCACCGCAAACAAAGGAAGACGCCACATAAGCAGCAAATCCTTCTCTTCCATCCTCTGTTTCTCGTCTGTCACATCTCTCCCCTCTCTCCCCCCCTCTCCCTCTCCAGTGTTCTAATTATTGTTTCCTCGGCCCTCTGGGAAACGGCATCTATCAGCCAATCAGAGAGCAGCAGCTCCGGGCCATTGACTTCTTTGATAGCGAGAACAAAGTCCACTTCAGTTCAGTTACAACTCTGAGCGATACAGCGAGCAATAAGCAGCTTTCCTCTGGAGCCGTATCATAAATCATTCAGTGTTCTGGTCCTGCAGTATTTGCAGCGACCCACCTTCGCTGACCCTCTCCTCTATCCCGAGATCCGTTTTCTTTTTTTTTTTGTATTCATCAAAAGCACAGTGAGGCTCTCAAGGGAATTTGAGATGAGAGGGATGCCACAGCGTGGCCACATGGCACCCCTCCTTCAGTTAGTGTGTGTGTCTGTATGTGTGCGTGCATGCATGAGGGTGTGTGTCAATGCGCCGTGTGTCTGCTTCATTAGTTTTGTATAAGCCCCCCAACCCCCGTCCCCACTCTGCTCTGAATGAGGAGGGAGGAAGACACACGTCAGCCCCCCCCCCCCCCCCCCCCCCGCCCCAGACAGGGACAGATGCTGCTGACACGTCCGAGTATCTCTATTGTATTATTCATCAGTGTCACTTCTCATCCGAGGCCGGACACAACAACAACAACAGGGGTCGCCGCCATCACCAACAACACACATGCATGGGGCTTATTTTCCTAGCTCTGTTTGGTGTATGTGTGTGTGTGTGTGTGTGTGTGTGTGTGCCAGAGGGAGGGTTTACATCTGCCACACTCCAGCTTCTCATCAGGCTGTAGATGATTCTTTTGAAGTACATTTTCCCTCTTTCTCCAAGTGGAAAGTGCTTTGATTGGTGAAACAGAGTGTGTGTGTGTGTGTGTGTGTGTGTGTGTGTTCATGTTTTCCTGTGTGTCACCCCAGGTAATATATCAAACCCCTCCATTCTACCCCAGCCGTCAGCAACCCCCCCCCCCCTCCTTGAGCCTCACTTCAACCCAACTGGGACTGAATCTGTTTTATTAATGAGAGTCACAGGAAGTGTCCGTTATGTTTTGAATAATCTCCGGGGCTTCGCTGTGTCTTTGTGACAAAGAGAAGATGAATTTTATATCCTGTGAATCCAAATATGCCGGGCTCGCTGGACGCCCGTCGGCCCCTTCCTGTTGTGTTGTTCATGGGATGAAGTCAGCAGACGAAAGCCCCTCTGGCCTCTCCTGTGGACGAAACTGTCCTGGTGTTGATAACAATGGGCATCGGGGGTAAAGGAAACACCTTTTGTCAGAGAGGCATGTGACTACACAAAAGATCATAGGCAGAGATGGAGGATGTACACAAACTCAGTCCTCATTAAAAGTGGAACAATGTCGGTTTTAACCTGTATGTCAAATACTAATATAGTATGCCATAAAAAACATTGTATGCAAAGTTATCCCCCCCCCCTCACGGTAGTAGCATACACGCCCATTTCAGACAAACAGAGCATGTCAGAAAGAGCCTGTCACGTTGTTTACTCCTCATTTGTTTACCCGGTGAGCCAGGAAGCCTCAGAGCTGCTGTCCACATTCAGAGAGAGCCTGGAGTCAGCGAGGTGCCACTCCGCAACCGGCAAAGACACGGAGGGGGAGTGTAACGGTTTCCGTATTAATTTAGTCCTGGAGGTCGTGCTTCTTGGTATCCACACCAGCAAAGTAGAGAGTAAGTGAGTAAAGAGACTACGGGAGGGAAAGATTGATGTTTACTTAGAGGGCTGCTGCTGGGGATCCTTATGGAAGTCTATTTTCAGTCCGTTTTTTAAGATGTGGCTCCTGGTGGTGTTTTTATTTCTCACACACACACACACAAGCATGAACTGTAAAGGCGGTTTTCACAGATCTGTCAGATCTGATGTGCTTCTGCCAGAAGGTACATATCGATCCCCCTCTTTAGTTGAGAGGTTTCCTGGAAAGGCCTGCAGGGACATTTCCCAGGCCCCCCGGGGACGGGGAGAGAAGGTCGATTCGGACCACATCATGGCGTCTGTCTCTCCATCCAGTGCAGGCGGAGGCCCTTAGCTGGGGTCTCAGGCCAGCAGACACACACACACACACACATATTGAGGTGGTGCAATGTCCCTGTCGGTTCCACCTCACTGCTTCTTTTCTCATCGGTTAACAAGAAGCTGTAACTGCTCTTCCCCCTCACACAGACGCACAAACATCGCCAAAACACACATGCAAATTAAACGTGAATTCATATGCACACAAAAAAAAACCACACACAAAGACATTCCATAGATGTTTTCAACCCAGGATTCAGAATGTATTCTTTCTTCTCTTCCCCCCTTTGTTTTGTTTTGGAGGGACTCTGAGGTTCTTTTGTCTCCAGTCGACTTTCAAATGTCTATTTATTCACCATGGTTTAATTGTGTTGTCGGCGAGATCTGTTTGAAATCGCCCGTTTAGCCCGTTTTGCATGACAAAAGGAGCCTCGGACCGGCCTGCTCATCCTGCTGCCCGGTGCCACAGAGACACGTTTCATCTTTTGATGCACGCCTCGGATTGTATTCTTAAAATCCATACATCAACCTTTGATAAATTATTGAACCCACACTGGCACCAACATGTCCACTTTTTACAGGCATGATGTCATGGCTGCGTGGCCTATTTTCCTTTTACAGCCAATTAACCGCAGCCTTTGAAGTTTTTGTTAGTTGGTTTTGAAAAGCTTTAACAATGGCATTGCATTATTTCACTCGAGTGTTTCAGGGCCTTAAGGTTTGACATGATGTTACAGGGATCCACATATGTGCAAACTGTTAATTTGATTATCAAATCACAGCGAACAACTTGTAAACAACTTGCAAAACACTCGGTGGGCTGCTTGACTCGTGTGTCTCTCTCCAGCGTTTCATTTCAGTCTCTGACACACATGTGGGCACAAAGGAAGTAAACTGATGGTCAAAAATGCATTTCCACACAAACTGCAATTAAACGTATTTTCAAAAACAAGTTTACGTGTGCACAGAACGTTTTAAGTAAAAACTTTAGTCTTACTTAAAACCTTAACCCATGTGAGAGGTGATATGAGGTAGTCATTGACAGTGCTGATGCCACAGGTATATCGTGGGATTTATATTGACATTTCTCTATTGACCTTCAAAACATGAATTCATTTGTACCGACTTTCTCAGACTTAGTTGTTTCCACTTGGTGTTTGCGTGTGTTAGATCTTCTGCAGATGCACAAGCCTTTACTTTAAAAACAAATAGAAGACTTTGAAACACAAGCTACTGAAGAAAAAGCCTCCAGCGATGTCTCATCTCAAAGCGGCGGTGCATTGTTTTAAGCTCACTGCTCCGGAGCTCGGACGTCTGCAGGCAGCTCATTCAGCGCCTCCACCCTAAACCTGAATGTGGGCACATTCCTCTCTGGTTCTCCTCCCTGCCAGGCCGTAATGTGACGTCTTCCCACCTGACGCCCAGTCATGCACGGCGCCGCTTTCTCACGTGAACCTGGCCTCCGCAGGACGAGGGGCGAGCATCACCTGAGCAGCACGTATTGTTCATAAGTGCGATTTCTGTTTTCTTTGTTACTTCTACTCGACTGACAATGTGAATTTGAAACCTCTCCATATGTACATATAAATCAAATATTAGACTGTTGCTGCTGCTGAATCTTTAAGCGCGCACACAGACTGGAAGAAGGAGACGGGTGTTCCTGGTAAAACCCAAACCACTCCTAACCTGCGTTTGGAAACTATTCCAGGCACGTTAATAGTACCTGTGTGATTATATGGCTGCTGAATTCCCATCATTCCTTGGAAAATAAGGATAAAACAACGTTTGTTTTATGTTTTAAAGATATTTATTGAGTGGTGAACTGTAGAACATGGTTTATCAGTAATAGCTTAATATAACAGTGTATTTGATATATTGGAAAGCTGCAGGGCAAATGAGGATTGTTCAAAGAGGAACAAATTGATCATTTGCTGCACTGATTATTCACACTACCCCGGCTGGGTTAAGACAAAAGGTACAAAATTAAGACCATTAAGAGTTTTCGTTCGTACAAAATGTGCAAATCAAAGGCGTCTACAAATGTGTTACAAAGCAAATACAAACTATTAACAAAAAAGACTTCTGTTAACAATCCTGAAATATACAATAAAAAAATGATATAGCGAGAACTTCTTACTACTTTGGACACAGTTTGTTATTTAAATCCATCATGGCCAAGATTAGCCATTTGGGTTTTGGCAATATTACATATGTATAAATACAACCGATGCCATTAAACGTACAGATACTTTTACACTTGACAAAACAATCATCTAAAATAACAGATCCATGTTAAACGGTTTAGCACAAAATGGTACATTCAAAAGAAAAGAAGTTAGCAGAAGGAACTCTACTTTGAATGAATACACAAAAAAACAAAACAAACCCTGAGACACAATATACACAAAACAAAAAAGTTATAGCATCAAATAAGATCTTGAAACAAAAGTTCCTTCGGCCACGAAGGGCCACATTTGCTCTTGCGAGCGTGTATTTTAAGTGTAGGAGGATGACACAGATTCAACTTGCCAAGATTGTGGGAAGCCCGAGTCCAAATGCTAAAAATGCCGACCGAAAGATCGTTTCTGTGCACAAAATCATACACTTCCTCAATGTCCTTCTCCACCCGCCTGGCAAAGCAAAGGTCTAATTCCGTCCAGATAATGAGGAATCGGCATTTTGCACTTCACTGTAAAGCAACACGTCAGTCAGCGACACTAACAAGCCCTCAACTCGCAACTTGTAATCTTGCAGTGAGACGATGCACATTTTACATTACGTAGTGCGTCAGTAACAGCAGGCTTCTTACACTCACTGCAGCAGCTTTGCCCCCAGGAGGTGGAAAAGTTTGGAAATCCCAGCGCACATAGTATCGGCACGTTAGACGGAGAGTGTGAGGTCCCCGCAGTGAACATGGCAACCAGTGCAGCTCAGGCTAGTGGCTACGTGGGAAGGTCTCACGCAGGGGACGAGTTGACGGATCAGCCGGGAAGAAGTCGCCGTCTCCCAGGTCTCTTACTCGGGGACTCGGGCCTTCGCTTCAGGCGGGATGGCGCCACAGCAGGACTACACAAATTCTTCCTCCTCCTCCTCCTCCTCTTCTGTGCAGCCAGTGAAGGGAGAAATCAGCCTGCATACCAGACGCCACCGCTTATCTGGGGGGAGAGAGAGAGACTTATGTTTTGGGTCCTGTGAACTGTACGAGGACCGACCGTATGACACGGGGGGGGCGGCCTGTGGTCAGGAATGCAGGGACTTTGCTCCTCCGCGCCGCACAGCGGCTTATCACCGTGCCATTTCACCGGGCTTACCCACACAGCGTTAATAATGCCTTAGGACGGGCCGCTATTTGACTAAAGTCCTCTTGGCACGTGGGATTAAGCTGCACAAGCCATTTACGTCGCTAGGTAATAAAATATCTGAGGGCGGCAGAGGAGACGACCCCCCCTCCACGCCGTAAGGATGAGCCGCTCTCAACTACACAGGTTAGGAAATATATCGGGATATAACTTGTACTGTTCGAGGCTTCCTCATGCGTGGAGCATCCTTTTTTTGCAGATGTTTCAGTATCTAACCTTCCTCCCCGGCGGTTATGAAGGAATGTTCCACTGGAAATTAAGGGGGGGAGGGAGAGGGGGATGTTAACCTCTAATTTGCATATTTGTGATAAGTGTGTGCGCTCTATTCTGGGAGAAGGGCAAAGGCTCTGCTGGGCTCTCGTTTAGATAACATGAAGATTTCTCATTTCCACGGCAGACAAAGCCGGCTGATACTACAGAAGCCTCGGTTAGCGCTGTGAATAGATGCTGAACAAGTTTCTAACCATTTCAAAAGAAATACCTTCTATAGCTATAAGTAAAAGTAGCATTTTTTTCTACAAAACAGATGTGTTATACTAGCGTATTTCTCGGTTTACTATGAAGCTACAGGCAGAGGCCAGTAAGCAATTCATTTGATCTGTTCCTCGATGTTGAAGGAATAAAACAGATCTGAGTCACACACGTTCAGCCTGATCTACAAGTTTACCTGATTTGCAGCTTTCAACTTTCGGTGCGTAACCCGTTTCAGAAGGTGGCAAAAAAACATTTGATACCAAATCAAACGGCACATATGGTGCAGTACAAACTCGGCTCAGCGTTCGTAGAGCAATTACTGTGTCGCGAAGCTTCTATCGAGTGCAAAGAGACTGAGCTCCCGAGACACCAGCAGGCCGAACCGTCAAAAACATCTGGATTTTTACCATTTCAATTTACAATAAAAAATGATCACAGTCTGGGATCATCAGTACATTCATAAAGAATAAAAAAAACAAAAAAACATCCTTGTCTCGCATCGTCAAATCTCTGCTCCCTCGGCTGTTCACAATGAGGGTCCCGCTGTCACGGAAATGAGCTCCAGACGGCCTCACAGTCGCGCTATTATTACCTGTCATGCCAAGGTCAATTCTACTCAACCCCGAGCCTCGGCGGTCTTTACTCTCATCTCAGACCCAGATTGATTACGTGAACAAACTGGTCCGGACCCGCGTCCTCAAACTCCCACAATCCCACCGGCCGTCACCAATCTGCCTTCCTTCCGCCGACGGGGACCAAGATGTCTGCAGTGCCAACAGGTGGCAGGGTTCATAGCCAGTGTGTGTGTGTGCGTCTTTGGTCCGGTCCGCAGCGTGATGCTGGGAGGGACGCGGGGGGGGGGAAGAGTAGTGGGAGCGGGGGGTCCTCGCGCCCTTCAACAAACCAAACAGATGGGCTGGGACTATATGAAGTTATTGGATCTGGCACTTTGAGGTTAAACCTGACTCAGTCTGTCGGCTCCTACCCCCCCCCCCCCCCCCTCCCTCATGGGCATGACGCCAGACTGAGTTTGACAAAAGAAAAGACCACGTCCCATTTATCAAGTGAACACCGGTGATTTACATGAATCTCCATTCGTTTCAGCCCGCGCTCGGCCTGCATGTACCGGAGTCCCAATTACCCACAATGCACAACACTGAAGCCGAGTCGCCTTTCTTTGTTTGTCCCTTGTGTCCACGGGGCCTGTGCCGTGTTTGCTGATGACCACAAAGCATCGCGCCGCATTGACTAACGGGTGAATCAGTGGGACTCCATTTACAGGAGTTTGCCTTGTTCTGCAGCGCCGATAAAAGGGGTCTCTGGTGAGCTCAGAGATCTGCAGCTGCTGGGGATCTGGAGTCTCGACGAATCCTCGCGGGAAGACTTTGTCTCGGTTTAAGACTCAGAACAAAGAGCGCCTCGGCGTCTGGATGGGCGCCATTTCAGTAATGCTTGAGCAAATACGATGCGATTCTGATGCATCACCCGGCAGACACACGGGCCCCTGCAACTGCATGACAACCATGGGGCGTAATCAGAATTAGTCCGGGTGATTATTCAGCAATTTTAAGCAGATTTTTTTTCTCCCCTTTTACCTTTTTGTGACCCCCCCCAGCACGGAGCAGACGACCAACAAAAACCCCATTAGCTTCGTGCTAATGTAAGCAGCCACACCAAGGGGCTGTAATGTGGCAGCTTGATTACTCAAGGGACTGGACACAAAGTGGGTGTGCGCGTGCGGAGTCTGACCGCGTGTGTCTGAGACCAGTGAGGTAGGGAGGGGGAACTGGGGGGGGGGGTTGTTGTACACAGATGCCACAATAAAAGCCTCATTCAGCTTGTGTTCCTGGTGGCCCTCACAGCGAGGCATTAATAAAACATTAGTATTGAGCGACTGAGGCCTCTGCTCTCCTCCTCCCTGATCCCGCCGTGACCTTTCCGTTTTTACACCAGCTGCCCGGGGAAGCGGGGAGCCCGCCGAGGCCCCCCCCCCCCCCGGTGGCCCCTGACCTCTCCAGGTGTACCCCCATCACGCAGGGCCGCACCCACCTCATAAGGGCGTGGAGCCGTTAAAAGGAGAACGCTGCTTATGTCGAGGATTTTTATGAGGGAGGGATGATGGAGGGAGAGGGGGGCTAAGAAAACAAAGGCTAGAGCGTAGATGACATGTCATCTCTGGGGTCGGTATGGTTCATGGGTTTAAGGCGGTGACGGAGAGGGATCGTCCTTCACATTTTGCACAAGTCAGTGGTTACGTCCTGTCTGGCTGCAGTGTACCACATTACACTACGACAATACTTACTTTTCCCAAAACACACACCGAATATACTCGTCAAAGCAGTACAAACTAGAGGTAACTAGTAGTTATTTATTACTTCAATTGTATTGGGGTCTTTGTGTTTTTAGCCTTTAAAGGGGTCGCTTACTTCTCCTGCCTGGATCACAACAAATCCAAACCATATTGCTTCAACATTCACGAGTTACTTTTCCATGGGCGGTGGGTTCGGGCTCGGCCTGGCGGGTCCGTGGTCACTCACATCTGGTGGAAATGGACGGGCCCCACAAACTGCAGTGGAACGGGGTGACAAAAGGGCTGGTAATCACATCCAGGCCACGCAAACTGCCGGGGACGACCGCACGGCCTCCGCCGCAGGGCAACATTAACAAATCCGTACTAATGGGAATGCCGGCCGCACCTTCATTCCTCCCGAATTAGAGTAAGGATGGCCGGCTTTTTAAAGGACAGGCAATGCCAGCAATGTCAGGGCCTCGGTTTGTGCGTGTGTTTGTGTGACCGGGAGAGAGAGAGAGACAAAGTAGTACGGGTGCAAAACCAGTGGTTTCACAACTGTGTGAAAACGTGCAATACTACTACTACTACTACTATACTGAATACATGAGCAGCTGACTGGTGGTTTTCGGCCTTATCGTAAACACACACGCTCTCTCGCTCTCACATGCGCACAATTATTTTTTCTGTCTGACCCAGCTGAAAGTTGACAACCTCGGGTACAGAGTATTTTTAGGCAGGCGTTGGTCTCGGCTGCCAAATGGTGCAAAATAGCTTTGCTCCTCCTGGTCTTACTCGCTCTCCACTTCATCTCTATGTGTGTGTGTGTGTGTGTGTGTATATATAAGTGTCCTGCTCCGTATCACTTTGCTACCGCCAACATTTTTCCCCACTTCACTTCTCCTCAAAGGCCCCCGCGCCTCGGGTGAGAAGGAGACGACGAGAGTCGGGGGAGGACGCCTGCTTCACAGGCTGGAAATCGGAGCTTTTTTTTTTTCTTTTCTTTTTTTTTCACGTCTGCTGTAATTAAGGCAGCGGGATGTCAGCTACTGTAACGGCTCCAAGAGTCCGACTCCAAGAGTTCATAAAGATGCTGTGCCTTGATCTTTCATAGCCAGCCTGCCTGTCTGCACACCCCCTAAAAAAAAAAAAAAAAAAGAAAGCCGAGGCTAGCGGTCCACAGCAGCAGCCTCATAAGGCTCCATCGAATCCAGCTGTTTACTGTAGACACAAGTCACACATACGCTCTGTGCTTCCCGCTTGCTTCCTCCCAGCTTTACGTCCTTCCCGACAGTTGTTTCGCAGCACGTAGGAGGAGGATCCAAACTTCACAGGAAAAAAGGACCAGTCCGCCTCGCTGCACATGATTTATATATCGGCACTTTGGTATTCTCGCAGACATCAGTGAAAGAGTTTCCTTCTAGACAAATGGAAAGACTAGAAGCTCAACCTCCAACTTATGAGGGGGGGGGCACACAATAAATGCAAACAAGCAACTTTACCAGTCAAAAGTTTGGACACACTTTCCCAAATGAATAAAACTTTTGACTGGTTCTGACTGAAAGACTGGTGGGCTTTGCTTTGTTCAGACAGAGTCGGTCCAGTTTACCAGGTAACCACGGAAACGTTACGTATCCTTTGATGACAGGCCCGAGCGTTACGGACTATGGGCTGCATTAACCCGAACACATCGCGCAAAATAATACATCGAAAGCTGTGTGTTTGTAGTCAACCTAAGAAAGCCTCCACTAAAACTAAAACCACAAAACCAGCAATAAAAAAAAAGATGCAGCACAGTCTGGGGTTTCATGAGAAGCCAAAACCAACAACTACTACAGCAAAATAATGGTTTTCCACTTATTGCAACGTCGGCTAAAATAAGATCACAGAACAGGCCTCGCGTCATGAAACTTAAAACCAGCTGAACCACCAGCAGGCACATGTAAACAACCTGCAAACCCGCCTGAGGATCGCCGTGCAGCTTCTCCTCGCGTCATCTGTGGGCCCCTCCATTCTCACCCGGTGAGAGAAACTGGAAACACCTCAGGGAAAAAAATGCATCATCTCTCATCTCACATGAAACTGTGAAAACTGCCACCTGTCATCCCTTCAGGCAGATGAGGCCGAGCGGTTCTTCACTGATGTGGTACGCTACGGCGAAGTCAATCATGTTCCTGCAACCTTGAAACGCATCCTTTGCTTTTTATTCCCCTGCAAGCACCTCAACTTTTCTTTTTTTTTTCCTACTTTGAAGCAGAACAGATTGTCCTGCCGTCTGTCATCACACGGAACTTTCTTTTTGTCCTTTAAAAGCACTTTGAGAAAAAAAAGAAAAAAAAAAGAGGTGTGCTCCTCTGACTCCTCTATGTGTCACATCACCTTTCAGAAGTTCCAACAGGACTCGGCCCAGACCCGATCCCTGCCCGTCCACCTCGCTGTGTGATTACCGCCACTGCTGACATTCCTCCTGCTCTAAAACCAGCACTGCACCATGTTTATCCAACACCCGGCCGTCGCAGCAGCTAGATAATGTGTAAGTGTAACCACCGGCAACCCTGAAAGGGGCCTTTTTAAACCGGCCTCGCGCGGTCTAAAAACGGACATTTTCCATGGAGTCCCCCATGTATCTGACGATGAAAAGGGACACTCCGAATGGCACATATGTAATTGATGTTTGTTTGTGTCAGTTTGAGGGAACTACAATTACTCACCTCAAAGAACGCGCTCCTCCCTACGCCGAGAGGTACTTCCACGTGCTGACGAAGGCGGTGGGAATGAGCGAGTAGGGCACGCTGGTCACGCTCTCCCAAGAGTCCGACGAGGGATCGTAACAGTCCAGCGTCTTACACCGCTGGGCCCCAAAGTAGCCCCCGACCACATAGAGCCGGTTTCCCGACGCCACCGCGTGGCAGCTGATCCGCTTGGCCGTCACGTCGCCGAACTTGGACCACTGGTACGTCTCGCTGTTGAACCGGTAGGCGGAGCTGGCGGAGAATTCGGTGTCGCCGCCGATCACCACGACGTGGTTGCCGACCACCGCCGCCGCCGTGTAGCGCCACAGCTGGGGACAGGCGGCCGGCACGGACCACCGGTTCTGGCACGGGTCAAAGCACTGGACTTTGGGGTATTTGTCCCTATTAACACTGGTGCCCCCAAAGGCAAAGAGTTTGTTTTTGGCCCCGACGACAGCGGCGTTGCTCACCCCCTCCCTGAGCGGAGCCACCAGCGCCCATTTGTTGGTCTGGGGGTCGTACTGTTCCACCTGCTTGAGGGACACGGATGGCGACGCGGGGAACGAGCCCGCGAGAGACGTGTGTCCTCCGACGACGTACAGCATGTGGTCGAGCTCCGCGGAGCCGTGCCCGAACCTGGCCACCATCATCGGTGACGCTTTGGACCACTCGTCGTGTAACGTGTCGTAGACCCAGACATCCTTGGAGGCCCCGTTTTCGGAGCCGCGACCACCGGTGACGTAAACCTTGAGGCACGTGGAGAGAAGCAGTGTTTTTTTTGGGGGTACCTCTACACGGCATTACATTCAAATAACGCACGTAATGGAGTATAAATCTCGTACATACCTTGCAACCGATGGCACAGGCGCTGCATTCTTTCCTGGGGCTGGGGATGTCCGTTTTGGGGGTGATCTCCTTGGTCTTGTTGTCGATCATGTAGACTTTATCACACATGAAGGTCTGTCCTCCCAGCAGCAGCAGGGCCTGGCTAACTTTCCTCGGCCTGGCACAGAAACCCGTTACAATGCCGTCGTTCTGGAGGATCCTCATCTTGCACCGCACCGCGTCTTCGACGATCTCCCGTCCCACCTTGTGGCACATCACGAGCTCCTCCGACGCGACGTTCTTCAGCAGGTACGACTCGGGGAGCAGCGCCAGGCGGACACAGCGCAGCAGGTCGGGCAGCTCGCTGTGCCTGTGCTCCATGTCGGCCTTGACCCAGTCGATAACCGCCTCGTACACCAGGCTCTCGTCCTCCACCTCCAGTTCCTCGCTGAGGATCAGCTCCTTGACTTTGTCTCTGGGCAGGCTGAGGAAGTCCTCGGTCCTGAAGAGAGTAGCAAAGTCCGCCAGGCACATCCTCCACGACAGCTCGTACAGCCTCTGGCACTGATGGGCGTCCGACAGCAGCATCATCCCCAGACAGTTGGACTGGTGAAGGTTCTTTTCCAGGAACTCGGCCGCGGCGTCCCGGATGTCGTGAAACTGAAGCATGTCGCCGGCCTCCAGGAGCGACTCCGCATTTTCTTCGTTGATGAGGATGCGGGCCGAGTAGGCGTAGTCGAGCAAGAGCTCCAGCACCTCTGGGTGCAGAGAGTCGTGGAAGTCGACATCGCCGTCAAGACTCTCCCGGAGCCCGATACTGAACATGGCCTCAAAGTATCGGCTGCAGGAGGCCAGCACGGCCCGGTGGCAGGGGAAGGACCGGTTCCCGGCCTTCAGGACGACATCGGTGAAGACTTTTCGCTTGCGCAACAGGTTGAGCTGCGTCAGCAGACTGTCGGCGTGCGTCGTCTTATGGAAAAGGTGGATGTTCATGGAGCCGGAACTGGAGCGAGACTTTCTGTTTTCGTGGTTACTGACAGACATCTTGACGTTGACCTGGAAGTACAGATGGCATAAACTATTTGTTGACATGAAAATTCAAACGCTTTCCTCACAGTTGGTCAGGTGGAAGAGATTTTATGAGGCCTTGCGCCTTCCTTTTGTCAACACAACCATAACCCCCCCTCCCTTCTACCATCAAACAAAAGTCCCAACCCAACAGTTTATGAATGGGTTGTTAAGATATAAAAAAAAACATATCAGCGTGCGGTACGGAAACAGACTTCAGTCTCAGATAAGAAGCACTCTCACAGAGGCGCTTTGTCTCTCAAACTAATCAGCCCAATAAACTGTTTTTTAATGGCATCTTATCACCTCCACAGGGCTGTGAGTCCCCTCCGAACAAAGCCAGAGCCAAAGCAATTCCACTCTACACTCCAGCTGTTCCACATACTGCTGCCTTTAGCTGTGAGATGTGACACCTCAGTCCAGCTCCCTCAGGCGGAAGTTATGCAACAGATGAAAAGCGCTTTCCTTTTCCTTTGATTATCTCTGGTGGATTTAGACCAGCAGCCACATCACATCCAGCGGGAGGACCAATTTAAGATCAACTTCCTTGCAAGCCAGGATCTTTTTTTTTGGATCTTTGTTTTTAATTGAATACAATTATATCAAAACCGCCTTGTAATAGTCACGGCACAGTAGGCTGATAAAGACTGGTCGCGTTGATGACGGGCAAATAAATATCTTCCGCTTTGAAACTGCACTGTTTTCATAGAAGATCCATTTAAGTCGACTATTAGATCCCCCTGAAAGAGCGACCGCGGACTTCAGCGGAGGAACTCGGCGTGAAATCCAATTCGCGTTGCGCCGTAAATGTGAAACTTTGCACAAAGTTCCCCCGGCTGCTACAACAGGGCGACATCAAAGGAGCCGACGCCAATAACCGGCTCTCCCGTATCGGAAGTATCAGAGACTCGCGTGCGCGCGTGTGCGTGCGTGTTCGCAGATCGATGCCTCAATTACCTGTAGAGACGCACAGCTGATCCGGATCCCTTTCCCTCGGTTCGAACTTGTTCCGCGGTGGATTTGTGTGAAGTTGTGTGGCACAATTTAGACGCAGCCGCGCTTCGGGACGGCGTCGCACCGTGAAGACCGGGCGGGGATCGGTTGAGCCATTTGTCGTGTCGTCGCAAGCTTCCGGTGTGAACGCGCAGATTTGCTGGTGTTTCAAAACAAAAACCAACGAAAAAGAGGGGAAGAAAAGTTGGTAGTTTGGGATTGTTTGGAGAGAGAGGAGCCGCGGAGCCTGCGGGAGTTCAACGAGCAAAGCGGAGAGAAAGAGCGGAGCGGCCGTGGTGTTCGGCCTGGCTCCTCCCACTCCGCCTCGCGTTGTCCAATCGGGCTGCAGCACTGCTGCACGAGCTCGCTTTATTCTGCATCCAGAACTTCAGGGTCAACGCACAGCATTGTTGTACAATGGCTTTGCAAAAGAGAGCACACAAACACCTGCCCGTGTGCTTCCTTTAGCTGCCGTGTGTCTCAGCTTGACTCTGAAGTGCTGTGGGGAGAAGATTTGATTTGATTTGATGTACAACCTCAACGCAGACAGCAGACATGGAGTATGCATAAATCATACAAGAAAGGGATCCGTCTGAATTGCTTTTCAATGATTTGTTTGTGTATTCGTCATTTCTGTCAAATGTAATGAAAATACCATCTTTCGACTGCCATTAAATACATTTAGGGACGATATATCACAGACTTAATCTATTTATAATTTTGACGGCCTAAAAGAAGATGCATTTTAACATGTGAAAAAAATACAACAATTTAAAAAATAACCAACATTCATGCACTTTTTTCATTAATTGAAACACCCATCCTCTGAAACCTTGTATCATTTCCTCAACCGTTACCTCTGAAACTAACACTGTTATAGCATTTTCACCAGGTATGAATCCTGAAAGTATTCATCAAAGCTCAGTTCCTGCTCCTTTCTGACTGTTCCGCATAATCAAAAGTCTTAGCGATCATATGATTGCAGGTTAAAGTTCTTCGGAGAGCCATGAGATCGTTTCTCCAGCTGAATTCCTGGCATTTTCTGCAGGATTTAAGCGCTCACGAGCTATTCAGGACAAGAACCGGACCGGTCAAGAAAGAGCCCAGTCAGCATGCACACACAAGGACTTATGTAGGCTGCTTAAAACATTGTACAACCCTGAAGCAATGCTGTAAATGTTTTGTATAAGTTTGGGAAAAAAGGAGTCTCTCTCTCTGTCTTTATTTTCTATGTATTTAAGTAAAAGATAAAGGAGTATCCTTGTTTCAACAAATACAGAACTGATTCAACAATAAGGAGTTATTTCGTGTGCAGGCCTTGTTGTCGGGACATGCCTCAACATGTCTGCAGATGCAACTAATGACATTGATAATAGCTAAGATTCCATCTAGGTGTGCCAGGTCCGGGGCTCTGCTATTGTGCACGTCGGACCTTTTTGTCTCACTGCGACACTTCAATGGAACAGAGTTTACGTAATTAGCTGCACCTGTGCTTTTCATGCCTTAACAGGCCTGCTGTGAGAAAAAAAGCAGCGTGAAAGTCAGCAAAAAAAAACAGCTCCTCTGCTACAGATAATGCATCGGTAGCAGATTTAATATTTGGAATATTTTTATTATTATCCCTACTCAAGCAATTAAGGCTCTGGTGACAGTTCGGCCCTCCCAGAAGTGACAGATGGGGGAGGACCGGTGTAGCGAGCTGACTGATCTCCAACACCACGGCCAGAGTCAATGCCACACTGCTCAGGTTTCTCTTCCCCTCGCCCCCTCTGAATGTCAGTCAACAGCAGCTTTTGAAGATTAAAAGCTGCCGCTGGTTCTCGTCTGAGTTTGTGTGCACATCAGTTCGTTTTTCAGTAAGCTTTGCCTTCAGCCTCTATTTCCTATTTGTTCCTCACAAGGGATTTGGTCGTGTCTAACCTCAAAGTTCTCCACCATAAACGTTTGCATATGTATTTCACATTCTCGTAATCCATTTTTGCCAATGCTTGTGTGAAGCCTCCCTTGTAGCTGACTAAGCCAAATGCTTTCATACACACAAGTGTGCCTTGAGGGGATTAAGTATTTAAGAAGATTAGATTAATGAACTCAAGATTATAATCTAGGGTTAATTCATTTTGCTGCACTTTAACCCAACGCTCCCTCCCCCCCTTTGAGCCCGATGTGGCTTGACGCCAAAGTGGTCTGAGGACATATGTGTGTGTGTGTGTGTGTGTGTGTGTGTGTGTGTGTGTGTTTTTCATGTGCTTGGGTGCTAGCATTGTGTAATCTGTGCATTAGTTACTTTCAGGCAGGGACGCCACTAATCAGACGCCCAACAATTATTCCTCAATGCCCCCAGCGTTGCAACAAGCCACTCACACAGTGTCTGTTGACAGTGACAGTAACCAACCGTCACTCCATTGTTGCCTTCAGACTCACTGTACCACATATTGGTTCACTCAAGGCAGGTGGTCTTCTCAGTGAGGTCATCTCGTCTGAAACATAAAGCGACACGGGGTCATCCTGGTGCCTGGGCCTCAACACCAAACAACGCAGAGGTTCTCATGACCTTCTATTTATGTTATTGGCTCTTACGTTGTGCATAGTTTTGGCTTGAAGTAAATTTACCAATGTTTGGTTTAGATATATTACAAATCCCTATGGAATGATTGACAGAATAATAATAAATGTATGCAATGATTAAAGACAATATATCAAATGTCCTAATTGAAATCATACACCATGAAAGCATATATTAAGTATTTTTTTTATTGTAATACAATTTCCAACAGCCTAATGTTGAGAATCAGCATAAAATAAAAAATCAGCCGTTGTGGTGTTTTACAACAATACATCCAACAAAAATTATCTCTCACAATTGGTTCCCGAATTTTAGTTCAGCCAAAACAAAGCAGGCAATTCTGCTGACTGTTTTATTACCTGTTTTCAACACTGTGCACATATATTCTCAGTCACTACACAGCCTCTTTTTGTTACGGCTTAATTCCGTTTTTTTAATTACCACTCAGTTTACCACCAATATACATTATACTATTGTATGAATGTTGTCCTTGTTGTTGTTCCTTTATTTCCAAGCTGGAGCATCTTATGTTTTATTTTCTCCTAGGTATTGCTTGATTCTCTTATTATTTTTGTGGTTTTGTTGGGAGGCCCGGCTGAGATTTAACAATATCTCAATCCCAACAATATTTTACACTGTGCGCTCCTCCGTATTTCTTGCGACAGTAAATATCTTAAAATTTGATAACAAAATGAAAGTATATCATATACTTGGCAGTGCATGTGTTAGGAGTATGAGTGATCAATCTAACCAGAGGGCTGTTTTTTCAGACATTCAAAATACAGCAGTCTAATTCTGTCCCTTAAGGTTTTACAGTGATTCAGGTGAGTAGCGCTACACCGCCACCGTGTGGCCGACATGCGTAAGTGCGTGCACGTGGGTCGTTGTTCGGAGAGATAAGGGGGCATGGCTATTCGCTTTGACCATTAGTCTACTTTCCCAACGAACGGTGTGGTTTAATGTGTTTAATATGAAATAAAAACGTGTTTTGTAGCGGCAGAACAGTTCCACCGTCTCTCGAACAAAAAGTTGCATTTCCTGTCTCGAATGCCCATTCCGGAAGTGACGTAGGCAGACTTCCGTTGCTGTCAAGGGCATCGAAAAGTGTCGTTAGCCGAGCCTACTAGTAGCTGCCCACACGTGTATTTACACAAGATCAAAACAGCTAGACTTTCGGTAGCGACTCCGTTGGAAATGGACGGGTTCGGCGCAGACTTCCCAGCGGGTGCATCGGGTGGTAAAGTGGACGCCGGCACCATCATGGAGCAGGTCAAGGTCCAGATAGCAGTGGCTAACGCGCAGGAGCTGCTGCAGGTAACGTTAAATCAATGGACACAGTTGCTAAGCTAGCAAGGCTAACCTACAACTTATCTAACGTTAACTAACTGAACTGAAGAGTAATGTTACATATGCTACATTTATAAGAGGGTGGAGTCATTGATATGTCACCACAATATGGAAATATGAGTAATGGAGAGATCATTGAAAAGGTGTCTTGATAATAATGCAATCAATAAGATGGAGAAATCGAACCATGCCTTTCTGTTTCAGAGGATGACAGACAAGTGCTTCAAGAAGTGCATAGGTAAACCTGGGAGCACGCTGGACAACTCTGAGCAGGTAGTGTTCTTTCCACAATCATCTATCATCTCAATACGAAAAGTAATGTCTTAGTCTTGGACTGACATTAAACAAGCAATTTGAAAATGTCACCTTCGGTCCTCTACTGGGTATTTTTCACCTGCTTTTATTACATTACAGACAAAATCAGAAATGAATTGGCGGAATGATTAAAATGAACATTTTGCAAAGACCATGAATTGTCATTAACTGCTTTTTGTTCCTACAGAAATGTATTGCCATGTGCATGGACCGGTATATGGATGCCTGGAACACTGTGTCTCGAACGTACAACTCTAGATTACAGAGGGAAAGAGCTCGTATGTGAACATCTCTCCCCTCAAACGTCCTTTCCCTTCGTCGGACTGCTGCTTGCAGTGAGGAGGAGTACGTTGTTTCCACCGGCGGCCAGGAGCTGTGCTCAGACGTCTCATGGCAGCAGCACAACAACATCGTCAAACCAATATCTCACGGACAGTCGGAGACTGTGGACTCGAGCCATAACAAAAGTCTCTGCGGACATTTTCATTTTGCTCGAGGAACAGTTATGTGTTTTTATGTTATGACTAATTAATCTTCTGGTCTACATGTAGTCACACATTTTAAAAAGCTGCCGTTTACACTTGCTTGTTTAAAGACATGTAGGTCACAATAATTAAAAGCCGTAACCTGTTGAGCACACGTGCGATTTAGTGCTTGTGATCTGTCCAAGGAAATTGAGTTAATTATTGCAGTCTTTTTTTCTTAATAGTATGGCTTCAATAGAAACACTGAAACCTCTCTGCCTTCAAACTAAGGTTGAATATTTCTTTTAAGAGACTGTGCATATACCTGTAATAACGGGTTGCTGTCACACCAATTCATCCATAAAATACTTACCGCATGTTTGCGCTACCAATTCTTTTCATTGTGTTTATGCTCCGCAGAATTAAATTATTATTTAAACATTAAAGCTGCACAACCTGAGCCCTCAAGGGGCAAAAACCGGCAGAACTTAAACACGCTTTTAAACTAAATTCAAAACGAAGGACCAACTTTGTGTTTTCATACGGGTGAAGCTGACATTCACGAGCCTTCGAACAGCCATATCAAAGTACACCTGGAGAACAAAACAGTTTTGTCTGATCTGTTTTCTAGTCACTCTATCTGCTGCCTGCCACAGTGGTGGGCTTGTTTCAGCAGGGTCTGCCTGGCTGTACAAAGGGTACTGAACCTTTCTCATCCGTATGTGCACACCTCGTCAGATGTCTGGCAACCACACTCTACTCCCCCCCCCCCAACCCCACTTTCCTGTGGAAATAATGTAGATAAGTAACCGCAGGAAAAGCTTGTGAACAGTATCAGCAGTTTGTCAGCAAATGGAATCTTTTTTATGGAAAAAAAAGAGTCCTCTGTTGTGTCTCGTCAAGAGTATGTCAATCAAACATCACCATGGGTTTGTCAAAATAAAGTGAAAATTCTATTAAAGCTGATTCCAGTACTTTTTCATGCTGAATTATATTTCCCCCCCAAATCACACCTTTCAGTAACAATTATTACATTGCATCTTTGTCTTTTTTTTCTTCAAGATTAGATAAAGACGTAAATGAACCCATAAATGAACAACGTATATTCAAAACCCCCACACAAAAGAAAAAAAACATACACCATGTACTTTAAGTTTAGCAGTTTGGAAAATAAATAACTGAAATAAATACAATCATAGTGACCCTACTCCAGTTCAGTATTCTCCTTATTTCTTCAGGACATTATGAAAGCGGACAGTCAAATAACCGCAAACAGCACCAATAATCAATACTGTGGAAATGATGTCTGTGGCTTTAAGCATGACTTTGGTCCTTTTTACAGTAAAAAAACATGCATCAAGAAAATCCACGTCGGTTGTCAACTTCTAGTAGTTTGAGCTTCTTTTTGCCTCTTCAGAAAGGCAAGTATGTAGATATCCATTTCCTGACCGAAGTAACATGAGTGTAAACCCCTGGAAAACCAATTCGCCCACAACCATGTCCCCAGCTAGTCACTCCAGCAATAAACCACGGGCCAGAGGGCTGGCGGCAGGTCAGCGGCCCTCCAGAGTCCCCCTGGATGAGAGGGGGGGGGAATTAAAATGACTTCAAGGCAGTGGGAGTCCCCGGCATTTAATGAGGATACTACGAATTAAGGATGTGTGAGCTATCAGAGGAGTAAAGTATAAAGAAAATGTCACTGGGATCGCTGTTGGGATGCCTGGTGCTTTGACCGAGACAGGAATGCATGTGGGTTTCCTTACATAAGGAGATTACTGAGGGAGGGGGCAGGGGTTCTGTATTTTTTACGAAAGAAAGTCTGCTCTCTCCCATCAGACAAGCGTCTTTCGCATTAACGTTGCAATGTTCCTCAACAGGCAGCAATGGGGTTTTCTCCATCGTTATAATATCTGACAAATATACTTTAAAACCATGAATTAGTCATATCCTTTTCCCCCCCCCAAAGCCTTCGGCTGTCTAAAAGGCTTTTGGGAAACTTTGTGGAAGGTTACTTACCATACAGGTGTCCCTCCCTCCCTCCATGTGACCGGCACACATCATGTTAGGAGTCAGCACGTTTCCATAAGACTGCTGGCAGTCTGCCTGGTCGATGATGCTCACTGCAGCTTTCTGCAGCAGGTTGGTCAAAGAACCTGTGGCAAGAATGATATCAGTGGGTAATGCATTTTCACAAAGTCTGATTCCGACAACGCTTCGCTGTTGAACTTTTTAAATGTATTTATATTATAATAAAATTCCCTTTAGCTCCATCGTTCTGGTGGTAGCATCAGAAGTCCTGGTAGAACCTCAGCAGATAAAAATGAAGCTGTCTGCATACCAAAGGGTAAATGCTAAATAGTGAGCAGGCGATCTGGTAGTGTTTAACAATATATTCTATGATATTATTTTTATTTAGTCCTTGGGATCATGTTGATGTGGAACTTTTCCTCCTCTGATGTTTCCTTGCTGTCGTAAAGAGTAACATCATTATGCAGAAACCGAGCACCATGTCCACCCAATTTCAAATCCCTCACCTCCCTCCCTCATGGACCCCCAGCCCACGATGTAGCACTCTGTATCCCTGAGGAAGAGGTGCACTGGTGAGGGGAGGCAGATGGACTGGATGGTGTAGGACATGGGGGCTGGGACTGCCAGCTCCAACAGAGCCATGTCGTGGTCCATGTTGGTGCCGTTGAAGGCCGGGTGGATGATGACCCTCTGGATGGGGATGACCAGGGCGCCGATACCGGAGCGCAGCACAGACCCCAGGCTCACAGCCCAGTTAGCAGGGCTAGGGTCACTGTGGGGGGATATAAATGACAACAGGCTCTGTACCATCCTGGCTCATCCAATTTCTCTGAAAATATTGCTGTGGTGAAATTCAAGTTGAGTGGTACCTTTTGAGGCAATGCGCCGCTGTGAGTAACCATTTGCTGTGAATGAGTGTGGCACCGCAGCGGTGAAGTCTCTGGAACTGGAGACTGCCAATCCAAGGCCACTCCCCCCTTCGAGCAGTCACGCCGCCCACGATCCTGTGGGAGCCCAGCGCGGGACGCATGCCGCACTCTGCAACAGGAACGCGCATCAGAAATATTTCTTTTTAATCCAGCGTGTGCATTCCTTCACATATAAACTTACCACAGTTCATCTCGTCAGCCTGGTTGGGGCAGTCTGGGACGCCGTCACACTCTGGGTTGACCTTGCTGATGCAGGAGGCGGCGCCACACTGGAAGTTCCCAGTGCAATTGAAGGCTGGAGCACATGATGGACAGATGTCATGTGTGGCGTGAGCGTACGCAAGTTTTTGTGATACCACAATAAAGATTGGCTTAATTTTGTTTCTCTTAGTAAAAGATGAGACAAGCATTTTTGATATCGGTTCAGTATTGAGGAAGTACGCTGATAAACAGACTGAAGTCTAATTGCTCAGGCTATTTGCCATCTTACATCGGCTAGAATTGACAATTTTTTAAATCGTATTTGCTCTGACGAAGATCTAAGTAGGAATGCAGTCGAGTAAATCGTGACACGGCGTGGGGCGGAGGCGTAACCTCTTTCCTCATCATCTGCTTACACACAAAACAAAGGTTTAAAAATACCAGTTAACCATTTAATTAAGCTGCTCTCTCAGCATGACATTACCAGTCGGTGTTGGTGCAGCGGACACGTCCAAGGCTGTGGTCCTGGGAACTGGGGGTTTATTAGAGCGTTCTGCTGGCACAGTAACATGCACAGTAGGAACATGCTGATGGGAATCATGGACCAAGCTGGGATCTGTGTAGCTTAAAATCCAGTTGCGAAGCCGGGTGATGCGGGAATAAACGCCAGGGTGGTTGATCTGGGCACATCCGACACCCCAACTCACCACCCCAGCCAGAAAGAACCTCCCCGGGGCCCCCTCACACACCAGAGGCCCTCCGGAGTCACCCTGCAGGGAACACAATGAGGAAAACTTTGATTCATTGATTAGGATCCGCACTGTATTTTCCATGATTTAAAGGATTGATAAAGCACTTGGATTAGAAAATGCAATGACCTCCATGAAGGACGAGCTCTAAGCAAGGAAGTACAGAGGTTCAGGAATATTTGCATCTATGCAAGGACATATGACACTTTTCTAGATCGATTGAGCTCAATTTTTTTAAAATCTGATTATCATACGCAGCAAGTTATGCCAAGATGAAAATAGCTTTTTTTAAAGGGTGGAACCAGTGATAACATGCAGTTTTGAACCTACATATAGTTTTAAGATCATCGGTGTTTGTATCCAAACTTTACCCACGGACGACAAAGAATTGTAAGAAATGTAAGTTAACGCCTCAGATGAACCAAGTAAAACAGCGCTGACCTGACACGAGTCCACTTTGCCCTGCAGGAATCCGGCACACATCATGTTGTGAGAAACAATTCCTTTGTACACAGACGATTTATTGCACACATCGGAGTCGATGATTTTCACCACAGCCTTCTGCAGTATTGGAGGCAACTTGGCTGAATGGTAGAAGAGGATAACGTGCCAGAGTCACTCATGTTGTTCATGCTTCCAACAGTCGTTTTCTCAACTGACGGTAAAAGGCTTCATACCCCCCGTCTAGTTATTCTATCCACATTATAAGCAATTTGTTGCTCAATATCTTACAGCAAAATGTTGCGTGAGAGTTAAAAAAAAAGTAATTCCGTCAATATTAAAACACCAGTGACATTATGGCATCTAGAGACCCTCATTTGCTGACGTGTTGAGGTGCACTCACGATTAAACTGTTCTGTTGCGCCCCACCCTGAAACCACGCAGCTTTGTCCGGGGGGAAACACGTAGGAGGGGGAGGGCAGGCAGATGGGCTGGATGTAAGCGCTGAAGGTCAGCGGGGTCTCCAGCTCCAGTACAGTGACATCATGGTCGTTGGTCATAGGGTCGTAGTCCGGACACACAACCAGCGACTTGATGTTAATCGTGGTGGACTCCGACTCGTCCCCGCTCACTAGTCGGGCCCCTATAAGGGCCGTCCAGTCCTTGGGGTCCCTGGTCCTAAAACACAAATAGGAACGAGATAACAATTTGTCTGTCCCTTACATGTTTAATGCTGATGTGTGGTTAGTCCATAAATAACAGCGGAGATCCTTGGAGAAATGTTGCCTACCCCTCAAAGCAATGTGCCGCACTGACCAGCCAGCGTTCGTTGACGACGGAGGCTCCACACGTGTGCCGTCCGTAGAGCCTGAGACTGACCTGCCACGGCAGCTCGCCTTGCCGAGCATCCTCCCCCCCCACCACCCGAATCCCCATAGCGGGACGTGCACCGCAGTCTGAGGACACAAGTTGGATACATTAAAGATGATAATTTTCTTACAGGCACGTCAACGATTATTTTCATTTACCGATAACAGCTGAGAAAGAAGAAAGGACAATCCAACGACCGAGCTTAAAAAAAAGGACCGTAGTAGTGAAGTAATTTACCACAATGAGCTTCATCAGATCCATCTGCACAGTCGGAGATAAAGTCACACTGTGTATTTAATTTGGTGACACATTCTCCGTTGTCACAAGTGAAGGTGTTGCCGGGACACTTTGCTGCAGAGCCGAGATGAAAGAAAAATGTCAGAATGAGATTTACAGGATATGGAAAAATGTGAAGATAATGTGGGTATCATTTGTTATTATTTATCGAATCATATTTTGTAAGGATAATGGGGGTTTTGTGTAATATTACAGAACATTTTCAAACTGTCTTAAAACAATACTCACATGCCCAAATTGCAAGAATTATTGGTGACTGTATTCAATCCTCCTGTTCATTCTGCACTAATAAATTGATTCCCAAAGTGACTCCATAACCCACAGAAAATGTTCTCCAAAGTTGAGCCAATCAAGAAGCTTTTTGCATTAAAATTTTCATGTGCAAAATCCTTTAGTATTCCTTGTTTTTGACCACCAGTGGATGGAAAGTAACGGTAACATTTTGC